GTCGTCGGGTTGTCCGTCCGTCCGTCAGTCAGTCCGTCAGTCCGTCCGCTCGTACGTTCGTACGTACGTCCGGAATTCGTGTCTGGCCCATAACTTTGTTATTTGAAGTCGGATTTTAAAACTATTTCACAGAAATGATCACCATATTGAGACGACGTGTCGCGCGCAACGTTTGGGTCGCTACCTTGAAGGTCAATGTCACAGCATGACCTTGCAGCAAAATCGTATCAGGCCCATAACTTTGTTATTTGAAGCCGGATTTTAATGATCACCATATTGAGACAATGTGTTGTGCAAAACATTTGGGTTGTTTTTACGCTTTGAACATTTTCTGTGACATAACTCTGACACTACAAGAGGTATACCTTCCTGTGTCCAAAACCTATTCGGGGAGCACCACCCGTTCAATCGGCTCTTGTTTAATACTGATTGTATTACTGCCAGATACATGCGGCCTCTGTGTTGTCTGTGTAAAGGTCAGATTTTAGTTGGCACAAAACATTTTAAAAACTGACTGAAATGATGTCCGTCCCAGGACCGTTTTGAAAAGAAATGTTGCTGCTGTTGAAGATCTACTTAAACAAGATGCCAATCTTACAGTCAAAAAACTTATATCATCGGGATCAGTTTATAAGATTTTGGCTCATGTGAAAACAAAACTGGAAAAAAAGCTTTTTGGTTTGTTGGGTCCCGCATCACGGAAGAACAGAGGATACTCATGTGAAATTGCCAAAAATCTTTTTAGAAAAAAATAAGAGATCTGTTTACAGTTGATGAACTTTGGGTGTATTATTTTGAGCCCAACAGACGTGTCAATAATGGGAAGTTGTTACACAAAGCCAAATGTAGACCAGTCGTGTCAATAATAGGCAGTTATTTACAAAAAGCCAAATGTAGACCAGTCATAGCCAAACGAAAAGGAAGTGGGTGTATTAATTATTTTGAGCCCAATAGACGTGTCAATAATAGGCAGTTGTTACACAAAGCCAAATGTAGACCAGTCATAGCCAAACGAAAAAGAAGTGCCGTATTTTTCAATTCTGGTGGACCTGTTGTTTAAATTCCATTTCCAATTGGACAAACAGTTTACTGTTAGATATTATGACAACAATGTGTTGAAAAAGGAAAAATATTTTACCAAATAGGTAGACTTTCCACCACACTAAGAGGCTTTTATGCATGACAATGCAGCGACTCACAAACGCGCGGGTTCAGGAGTCCCTAGAAAGGAAAAGCTGGTACATCGGACATTACAACCTGTGATTTTTTCTTGTTTTCCTAATTAAAAAAATACTCTCTTTACAGACGTCGACATGACTCAAAGTGCGTTAGGATGTACAATTTCAAAGTGTCTCAGGTTGTGCCAAAAAAGCGTATTTTTCTGCCTTCACAAAGTGGAATGTTATGGTAAGGAAATGTATTTCTGCTAGGGTGGATGCTTTGAAGGGTTTAAGTAAATTTTATTTGACTTCGTCTCAAAACGTGGTTTGAAGAATCACATGGACAAACTTCTGAATGTACGCTACTCGTAAATGGGAATTATTGTATCATTATGCACGCAATATGACATATATTGAATGCATTATGTTTTAAACCATACAAATATAAACGTGAAAATGTAAAATTTTCCTTTCATTTGTACATTTTATTTTCTGTCGCCTCACATTATTGCAGAAACATATGTATTTTTCTATTTTTTTCTTTTATACACTTTTGGTATTCATTCTGTAGACAAACAACATTTGAGGCACATGATACATTCATTAAAGTATATATCAACTTGGGGCATCTATATATTCAGCTATCATGTTCTTACAGAAACGAATTTGCTATTTGCTTTCGGAGTGTTGCCGAAACATTGTTTATAGAAATAATATGGCTTCAAGTCCTAAGTTTAATGATTTGCTTCTATAAAATTACATATGGTGATAAAGATATCGCGCAGAGTAAGCACACCAAGCAAAAAGATACCATGACATCATTGCGTTCATAAAATATGTAGTGTATGCTGGTGTTTCATTTTTACAACGCTTTCTAACTGCTCCTTTACCAGTACTGTATTTTTTGTTTGTTTGCATCTTTTTTGTAAGAGCCTGTGTCCAAATTATTAGATTTTTGCTTCGTTGTCCTTGACGTTGTCACCACAAGGACGCCGATCTCTCTCTTCTACGTAGACTTCTGATAATCTCTATATTGAAATTAGATACTGTTGTCTGTTATATAGGTTTATAACATAAAGAAAATATATATATCAAATCAAACGTTATCACATACCCGTTGCCGATTTTGCCACTCCGTAAAAATGGTATTGCACGGCCATGCATATATTTTGACATGTCGCCATTAGCGTATACGAACATAGTGTAAAGACGCGCTAAATGTTAGCGTTTTAGTATAAGCGCGTCAATGAAAAATGACTCTTTATTTATTTTAAACTGTCTTTCTTTTGGGTGATAAATAAGATATTAAATTCGTGTAAGTTCATTACTGAATTTATTGAACTCGTTGAATAAAATAATTTATGTAATTTTATTCAACTCGTGCCATAAATCAGTATTGAACTTACACTCATTCAATATCCTCTATGTACTTTAATAAATGGATAATTAAATGATAAAATAGTGTGGCATTTGTATAAATCAACTTCCACAATTATGTTATAAAATAATGACCATTTGTATGATATCACGTGTATTTTACGATGTGTTACATACTATACTAAATTTATAGAAAACTCTACTTCTAATGCATATGTATAAATATTTGTTTTAAAATTTTATTGTTCATTGAGTTTTTATTATATTTATATTCTTCATTACATAACGGCATTTAAAAATACGCATTCGTAAGTCTTGTATGGACCACGTGGTCCTGCCTCTTCACTATCGGGAACATTAAAGTACATACCGGTCATATACATATGAAGAACAGTTCGATTTTTTTTTAAAGTTGTCCGATATCCGACTAAACTTGAGTTTTAAATAAGTCTGTCTAACATAACGATTGACTTTAAACCACTTACCCCTAATAACTGTGGGATGGAATCCCGCCATTTCATAAGGAAAAGATATCTAGCTAGCTTAGAAACGTCAGTGGTTCTACTCGGGAGCCCGCTTGTGTCTGAAATAATGCACTAATTGATACTCAAGGTCTTCCCCCACCAGTTAAACTAGAAAGTCGCCATATGTCCTCAAAATGATGACCAAATGCTTGCAATCTAAAATATTCCCCTTTCAGATTAGAAAGTTTCTAATGGATTTTGGACACCCTAAAATTTGTAACACGTTTATAGAGAAATATGAGGCCCAAATTTTCAGAAGATTATTATCGTTGGTTGATTAATACGAAAAATTTTCAAAATATTTATAAGATCTGACTGAATATATTAGATAACATATGTTCAGCTACTAACTGATCGCATCTCTGAAAAAAAACACATAGCATTTCCTGATAATTCTGGAGCGAACAATTTTGCGTTCTACATTTTACAACATAACCGTGAATCAAATGCGCTTGTTAACAAACACATTTCTTTTGTTTGAAGAGACACCTGCTGTTCACGTTTTATAGTGTCTTAGTGGTGCAAATAATTTTAATATAGAAGCTACATACATACATACATACATACATACACGCACGCACGCACGCACGCACGCACGCACAGACATACATACATACATACATACATACATACACCAACACACACACATGCACGCACGCACGCACGCACGCACGCACACACGCGCACACACACACAGACAGCACACACAGACAGACAGACATTTTGTTTGAAGAGACACCTGCTGTTGACGTTAGATAGTGTCTTTGTGATGCAAATAATGTTTAATATAGAAGCTACATATATACATCAATCAATCTTTGCATCAACATTTCAATATTGGATTTATAAATGTGTAGCTTACAACATATGTTTTATAGCCATCTGCAATTAATAATAGAAAAGTGCAATGCTGTTACAGTAAATCATTTTATTTCAAAAGATTACCCAAACGTTGGTTATATAAACAATATAATATTGCGATTTTTTTATACGTATTCCTAAAAAAAAATTTAAATTCCCAATGAGTGTCAGATATACGAATCTTTAAAATAGTTGTGTGTAATTAATTTTACTTTGATATTATTATAATAGCATAACAATATCATCTTTATTGTCGTGGGTGAAGAAATGCAAGCTGCTTCCGTGTGTGTTTGAATAAAAAAATGTTTTATTACTTTTCAAAACTTGTATAAAAAGTATAGCTTTTTTAAATAACGCTTATGATCTGTAAAAAAACGCTCATTTCGAATTGATTTTCACACGAACAATAAGTAACCATTTCGTCCAATCTTTTAAATTATCATTGACACCTGTTAAATGTTGAATTTCAGACGAGTTTAATATAATCGTCATACTAACGTGCATTTTAATCAGCAAACATTGACAATATAGAGTTAAAATATGCTCCCAGGAAAAGAAATAAACTATTATGCTCAATCAAATCTGGAAAAAAAGAGAAATATTCTAAATACATGTAATTGTTTTCCCTAAACTCGGATATTACAATGTACTTTTCTCTCATCCTTTTCATGAACTGGATGAGAAATTGTAGATATTGCATTGTAACAATACTACGTTCATCTAAATCAAGTGATAGTTATCACGAAACATTGCATAATGTTTTGTATTGATTTACAACATGGAAAGAGTAAAATGCTAATCAGCGAGGTATAATATTTTGTAGTGAACAACATTTTCTATTTGCAACAGTTTATACAACGTTTGCAAACAAACATGTTGCAATTATCACACCTTTTGTATTTTTCGAACTTGCTATGTTTTGTTTGCTGTACAACAATTGTTGATAATGAAATAAGAAAAACTAATGTTTACAAAGCAAAATTAGCTGAACAGTCTTTAAGGTTCGATGATGTTTTGAGTGCTATGATGTCTGTATCAGAGATGGATCAATCGCTTGCATATGAAGAAAGGACTTTACTTTCAACGTCTTATAAAAAATCTATCGAGACACGCTTATTCTCATATAAAGTAGTATAACAAGTTGAGGATACTGAACATGGTGAATTTTTAGACATTGCTAAGGATTACCGTACGGCAATTGGAATTGAAATATTGGATATTTGTAACATGGTTGTGTTTATTTTAGCGAACAACCTAATAGCTAACGCAAGTGATATCGAAAGCAAAGTATTGTTCTTAACAATGTCAGGTGAATCAAACAGGCATATTGCCGAAATCGAAGATGAGAATAAAATGGAAACAATTGAATTGGCCAGAGTATCCTACGCGAATGCATTTGACATTGCTCGAACTGCTCTATCCGGATTGAATCTAATTCGACTGGAACTGGCATTAAGTTATTCTATGTTTTACCATGATATCATGAATGATATTGACCGTGCTATAGAAATTGCAAGCTCTGAGTTATATTGTGCAATTGCGGAGGAGTTAGACGGTACCGAATATGTTACAAATGATGCATTTTTTCAGCTTATGAGAGTACTTAAAGACAAAATAGATTTATGGACTGAAGAAAATGACGTCGATAGTCGATAATGAAAACAACTGACGGAAAGAACACAATCATATTTATATTTAATAATCGGATTAATTGTACACTAATTATATAAAGAATTTTTGTCTAACACTGAAGATTATTTTATGTAAATTGATATATAAAAATCATATACATTTACATGTATTGTTATAACTACAACTGCAATTCATAAATTGTTGTCATGACAATTCTGTTAAACTGTATCATAACTTCCCTTGTTTTTACCGAAAAACTTTGAAATTGGAATTATTTGTTTGTTTTACATACTCGTAAACACAAAAAAAAAATCACAGATAAGTCTGATTTTGACGATGAAGAGGCGGCAGATTTCCTAGGAAACGGGTATCATGCAGGGAGAATATCCTGCAAAATGAAATCATTGTCACATTTTCAAATCTTTCTTAATAATTGCTAACTATCAAAATGATGACAAAATATATGCGATTTTAAGATGTTTTCCTTTCAGCTTGAATTTTGGAGATTCTAAAATTTGTAACACGTTTATTGAGAAATATAAGGCTCCAATTTTTAGAAAATTATTACCGTTGGCTGATTAATACCATGGAGCTAAATATATATCTGTGTTAATACGAATTCAGATTTTCAAAATTATCTATTAGATCTGACAGAATATATAAAATTTAGATAACATATTCCATTGTAAAATATCTTCAGCTAGTAACTGATCGCATCTCTGTTAAAATATAGCAATTCCTGATAATTCTGGAGCGAACAGTTTTGCATTCCACATTTGACAACCGTGAATCAAATGCGCTTGCTAACATCTCAATTTCTTTTTGTTTGAAGAGACAACTGCTGTTCACGTTAGATAGTGTCTTTGTGATGCAAATAATTTTTAATATAGAAGCCAAATACATACATAAATTTATCTTTGCATCAACATTTCAAAACAATATTGCATTTATATATGTCTAGCTTACAGCGTATGTTTCGTAGCCATCTGCAATCAATTATAGAAATGTGCGATACTGTTACAGTAAAACATTATACACTAGTAGAAGTAATAATAATATAATATTATAATATGGACATACATGTTTTTTATATGTATGTATTAAATGAATTTAGAATTCCTAAAATAGTTGTGTATAATTAATATTATTTTAATATTAATACAAAATTGCATATCAATATATCTTTAACGTCGTGGAAGACGAAATGGAAGCTGCTTCTGAGTTTGTTTGAATTAAAATACTTTTTATTACTTTTCTTCAATGGCGATGTCTTTATGTAGCTCAACATGTTCCTGAGCAACAGATGTACTTAAAGACCAATATAGAAATAATAAAATGAAGTTATTACTTTTTCCTTTCCCAAGTACAGGTTTTATTTTCTGCCGACACACATTTATAGGGAGACATCTGTCATATTTCTATTCAAGATGAGCCTCATATTTTGGTAGACAGTGTGTAAACAAACACTCTTTGGCATGTGTTACATTTATCATTTCATACATAAAGTTTTATTACAAACTTATTTCGCAATAAATATACATCATCTATATGTGTGCGTATATATTCAACTGAAAAACACTACATTATGTCATAACAGAAAATCATTTAACGAAACATGGTATATAGAAAGAATATGGCAGGATTCATGTTTCAAGTCTTAAGTTTGATGTTTTGCTTACATACAATTGTTTTGGTTAAAGAAGAGGCCGGTGGAGAAACGGAAACATATATATACCGTGCAGAATTAGCACAGCGTGGCAAAAGATACGACGACATGATGTCCTTCATGAAAAATATTGCAGAGATGAATATCGAGTTGTCGCATAAGGAAAGGGTATTGCTTACTTCAGCTTACACAAATGCCATTGATAATCGTCGATTATTCTGGACATCTTTGAGAAATGTCGAGGAAAAGGAAATCGGAAAACGGCTTCAAATTGCAATGAATTACAGGACAGAAATTGGAAAAGAAGTATTTGATATTTGCACAGACTTTTTAACAATTCTAAATAATCGAAAATTGTACCCACCTGCTAATGATACAGAAAGTAAAATTGATTTTCTTACAATGAAAGGAAATCAATATCGTTTTATCACTGAAATTTCACTAGGAAATGAAACTGCGGCTGAAATTGCAACAGAAATATACAAGGAAGGGTATAATTTATTAAACGAGAACATATCGCCATTAAACCCAGTCCGGCTAATGTTTATTGGCAGCTATGTTTCTTTTCTACTAGACACAGAAAAGAACTACACTAAAGCTATTGCTGTAACCCAAATAGAATACGATTTGATAAAAAGTTTGAATCAAGAACTTTAAGTGAAATAAATCAGACGAATGTGCATCGGAAACAATGATAAAGATTTACAACAAATGACAAATGTAAACCAGTCGTGTCAATAATAGGCAGTTATTTACAAAAAGCCAAATGTAGACCAGTCATAGCCAAACGAAAAAGAAGTGGGTGTATTAATTATTTTGAGCCCAATAGACGTGTCAATAATAGGCAGTTGTTACACAAAGCCAAATGTAGACCAGTCATAGCCAAACGAAAAAGAAGTGCCGTATTTTTCAATTCTGGTAGACCTTTTGTTTAAATTCCATTTCCAATTGGACAAACAGTTAACTTACTGTTAGATATTATGACAACAATGCGTTGAAAAAGGAAAAATATTTTACCAAATAGGTAGACTTTCCACCACACTTAGAGGCCTTTATGCATGACAATGCAGCTACTCACAAGCGCGCGGGCTCAGGAGTCCCTAGAAAGGAAAAGCTGGTACATCGGACATTACTTCCTGTGATTTTTTCTTGTTTTCCTAATTGAAAAAAATACTCTCTCTATAGACGTCGACATGACTCAAAGTGCGTTAGGATGTACAATTTTAAAGTGTCTCAGGTTGTGCCAAAAAAGCGTATTTTTCTGCCTTCACAAAGTGGATTTTTACGGTAAAAAAATATATTTCTGCTAGGGTGGATGCTTTAAAGGGTTTAAGTAAATTTTATTTGACTTCGTCTCAAAACGTGGTTTGAAGAATCACATGGACAAACTTCTGAATGAACGCTACTCGTAAACGGGAATTATTGTATCATTATGTACGCAATATGACATATATTGAATGCATTATGTTTTAAACCATACAAATATAAAAGTGAAGATGTAAACTTTTCCTTTCATTTGTACATTTTATTTTCTGTCGCCTCACATTATTGCAGAAACATATGTATTTTTCTATTTTTTTTCTTTTATACACTTTTGGTGTTCATTCTGTAGACAAACAACATTTGAGGCACATGATACATTCATTAAAGTATATATCAACTTGGGGCATCTATATGCTCTTACAGAAACGAATTTGCTATTTGCTTTCGGAGTGTTGCCGAAACATTGTTTATAGAAATAATATGGCTTCAAGTCCTAAGTTTAATGATTTGCTTCCATAAAATTACAGATGGTGCTAAAGATATCGCGCAGAGTAAGCACACCAAGCCATGAGATACCATGACATCATTGCGTTCATAAAATATGTAGTGTATGCTGGTGTTTCATTTTTACAATGCTTTCTAACTGCACCTTTACCAGTACTGTATTTTTTGTTTGTTTGCATCTTTTTTTAAGATCCTGCGTCCAAATTATTAGATTTTTGCGTCGTTGCCCTTGACGTTGTCACCACAAGAACGCCGATTACTCTCTTCTGCGTACAAACAGACTTCTAATAATCTCTATATCGAAATTAGATACTGTTGTCTGTTATAAAAGTTTATAACATAAAGAAAATATATATTTCAAATCAAACGTTATCACATACCCGTTGCCGATTTTGCCACTCCGTTAAAATGGTATTGCACGGCCATGCATATATTAGCGTATACGAAAATAGTGTAAAGACGCGCTAAATGTAAGCGTTTTACTATAAGCGCGACAATGAAAAATGACTCTTTATTTACTTTAAACAGTCTTTCTTTTGGGTGATAAATAAGATATTAAATTCGTGTAAGTTCATTACTGAATTTATTGAACTCGTTGAATAAAATAATTAATATAATTTTATTCAACTCGTGCAATTAAATCAGTATTGAACTTACACTCATTCAATTTATCTTCTATGCACTTTAATAAATGGATAATTAAATGATAAACTATTGTGGCATTTGTATAAATTAAATAAAATAATGACCATTTGTATGGTATCACGTGTCATGCACGTGTGGCAACTTCAAACTTTAACAAAAGACATTCACACATGGAATAGACATACAATGGCTTGAATTCAGTACAATCAACATCCTTAACACGGCTATTAGATGTAGAATTTATATGGTATGTGTATCGAAGGTTCCGACGATGTTCTGTCAAATAAAATAACATAGAAAAAAATGTAATATAATATGCCACTTTTTGCGGTCTTTATGTCTTTCAAGCATATTAAAACATGCACATTACAATATTTGTTCAATGAAAGAAAGGTAAACAATCTTTTTGCGATTGATAACAGGTAAGACTGCACGTGTACATTAACTTTTTTTACAATGCAAGTGGCTTTAAAGTAAAACAGATTTTTTTCTTTTTCTTCATGTGCAATCTATGTAGGGCATACAGAGATTGACCTGCATATATACTATGTAAACGCTCTTAGACAATACTTACCTTAGGTGGACTTAATTCTGTCTGAAGTAATAAGCAAAAATGACCACGTTATAATATACTCACGGCTGTACTAAAGAGTGGGAACAAAATATGGAATAAAGAATTTTACATTTCTTCCTCGCGGTTATCACCGACATATAAATAATAAAAGTTGTTTTAGTTGTTAATTAATTTAATTTTATTTAATCTATCTGTAAGACACAAATAATAATTTCTTGTTATTTTCAGTGCAGTAAATGATAAAAAGGATACACTTATCATATATCATAGAGAGAAAAAAAACTTTCAGTCTATGATCTTAAGCTTCTAGACATGAAGGCGTATGCTGCCCTACTTTAGCATGTTACCCTATCTTAGCATATATGGGTCGGTATTTGGATCAAAAATGGTATTTTACAATGTATTAAATACTATACTAAATTTATAGACTACTCTACTTCTAATGCATATGTATAAATATTTGTTTTAAAATTTTATTGTTCATTGAGTTTTTATTATATTTATATTCTTCATTACATAACGGCATTTAAAAATACGCATTCGTAAGTCTTGTATGGACCACGTGGTCCTGCCTCTTCACTATCGGGGACATTAAAGTACATACCGGTCATATACATATGAAGAACAGTTCGATTTTTTTAAAAAGTTGTCCGATATCCGACAAAATTTGAGTTTTAAATAAGTCTGTCTAACATAACGATTGACTTCAAACCACTTACCCCTAATAACTGTGGGATGGAATCCCGCCATTTCATAAGGAAAAGATATCTAGCTAGCTTAGAAACGTCAGCGGTTCTACTCGGGAGCTCGCTTGTGTCTGAAATAATACACGGAGGAACATGCAAGGTCTTCTTCAACCTGTAAAACTAGAAAGTCGCCATATGTCCTCAAAATGCTGACCAAATACTTACGATTTTAAATATTCCCCTTTCAGCTTAGAAAGTTTCAAATGGATTTTGGACACTCTAAAATTTGTAACACGTTTATTGAGTAAGGCCCAAATTTTCAGAAAATTATTACCGTTGGTTGATTAATACGAATAATTTTAAAAATATCTATAAGATCTGACTGAATATATTCAATTTAGAAAACATATGCTACTAACTGATCGCATCTCTGATAAAAAATATAGCATAAAATTTTGCGTTCTACAGTTTACAACATAACCGTGAATCAAAAACACATTTCTTTTGTTTGAAAAGACCCCTGCTGTTTACGTTTTATAGTGTCTTTGTGGTGCAAATAATTTTGAATAAAGAAGCTACATACATACATACATACATACATACATACATACATACATACATACATACACGCACGCACGCACGCACGCACGCACGCACGCACGCACACACATACATACATACATACATACATACATACATACATACATACATACATACATACATACATACATACATACATACACACACCAACACACACATGCACGCACGCACGCACACACACACGCGCACAGACAGACAGACATTTTGTTTTAAGAGACACATGTTAATATAGAAGCTACATACATACATCAATCAATCTTTGCATCAACATTTCAATATTGGATTTATAAATGTGTAGCTTACAACATATGTTTTATAGCCATCTGCAATTAATAATAGAAAAGTGCAATGCTGTTACAGTAAATCATTTTATTTCAAAAGATTACCCAAACGTTAGTAATATAAACAATATAATATTGCGATTTTTTTATACGTATACATAAAAAGAATTGAAAATTCCCAATCAGTGTCAGATATACGAATCTCTAAAATAGTAGTGTGTAATTAATTCTACTTTGATATTAATATAAACAGCATATCAATATCTTTATTGTCGTGGTGAGGAAATGGAAGCTGCTTCTGTATGCGTTTTAATAAAAAATACTTTTATTACTTTTCAAAACTTGTATAAAAAGTATAGCTTTTTTAATTAACGCTAATGTTCTGTTAAAAAATAACGCTCATTTCGAATTGATTTTCACACGAAGAATAAGTAACCATTTCGTTCATTCTTTTAAATTATCATTGACACTTGTTAAATGTTGAATTTCAGACGTGTTTAATTTGATCTTCATGCTAACGTGCATTTTAATCAAATTAACGGGAGCAAACATTGACAATATAGAGTTAAAATATGCTGTCAAGAAAAAGAAATAAACTATTATGCTCAATCAAATCTGGAAAGAAAGAAAGAGAAATATCCTAAATACATGTAATTGTTTTCCCTAAACTCGGATATTACAATGTACTTTTCTCTCATCCTTTTCATGAACTGGATGAGAAATTGTAGATATTGCATTGTAACAATACCACGTTCATCTAAATCAAGTGATAGTTATCACGAAACATTGCATAATGTTTTGTATTGATTTACAACATGGAAAGAGTAAAACGCTGATCAGCGAGGTATAATATTTTGTAGTGAACCACATTTTCTATTTGCAACAGTTTATACAACGTTTGCAAACAAATATGATGCAATTATCACACTTTGTGTATTTTTCGAACTTGCTATGTTTTGTTTGCTGTACAACAATTGTTGATAATGAAATAAGAAAAGCTAATGTTTACAAAGCAAAATTAGCTGAACAGTCTTTAAGGTTCGATGATGTTTTGAGTGCTATGATGTTTGTATCAGAGATGGATCAATCGCTTACATATGAAGAAAGGACTTTACTTTCAACGTCTTATAAAAAATCTATCGAGACACGCTTATTCTCATATAAAGTAGTACAACAAGTTGAGGATACTGAACATGGTGAATTTTTAGACATTGCTAAGGATTACCGTATGGCAATTGGAAATGAAATATTTGATATCTCTAACAAAGTTTTGTTTATTTTAGCGAACAACCTAATACCTAACGCAAGTGATATCGAAAGCAAAGTATTGTTCTTAACAATGACAGGTGAATCATACAGGTATATTGCCGAAATCGAAGATGAGAATAAAACGGAAACAATTGAATTGGCCACAGTATCCTACGCGGATGCATTTGACATTGCTCGAAATGATCTAAACGGATTGAATCTGATTCGACTGGAACTGGCATTAAGTTATTCTATGTTTTACCATGATATCATGAATGATATTGACCGTGCTATTGCAATTGCAAGCTCTGAGTTTTATTGTGCAATTGCGGAGTTAGACGGTACCGAATATGATACAAATGATGCAATTTTTCAGCTCATGAGAGTACTTAAAGACAAAATAGATTTATGGACTGAAGAAAATAACGCCGATAGTCGATAATGAACACAACTGACGGAAAGAACACACTAATATTTATATTTAATAATCGGATTAATTGTACACTAATTATATAAAGAATTTTTGTCTAACACTGAAGATTATTTCATGTAAATTGATATATAAAATCATATACATGTACATGTACAACATGTACATGTATTATTATAACTACACATACAATTTATAACTTATTGTCATGACAATTCTGATATCCTGTATCATAACTTCCCTTTTTTTACCAAAAAACTTTGAAATTATGACTTACAGTACAAAAAATGTTTAGTAAATCATTTGTCTTTTTGAATTTGGAATTATTTGTTTGTTTTACATACCCGTAAAAAACAAATAATACACAGAGATGTCTGACTTTGGCGATGAAGAGGCGGCAGATAGTAAACGGGTATCATGTAGAGAGAATATCCTGCAAAATTAAATCATTGTCACACGTTTTCAAATCTGTCTTAATAATTGCTTACTAAAAACAAGGAAGTATCAAAAAGATGACAAAAACTTGCGATTTTAAGATGTTTCCCTTTCAGCTTAGAAAGTTTCTAATGTATTTTGGACATTCTTAAATTTGTAACACGTTTATTGAGAAATATAAGGCTCCAATTTTAAGAAAATCATTACCGTTGGCTGATTAATACCATGGAGCTAAATATATATCTGTGTTAATACGAATACAAATTTTCAAAATTATCTATTAGATCTGACAGAATATATTAAATTTAGATAAGATATTCCATTGTAAAATATCTTCAGCTAGTAAGTGATCGCATCTCTGTTAAAATATAGCATTTCCTGGAACAATTTTGCGTTACACATTAGACAACCGTGAATCAAATGCGCTTGCTAACATAACGCATTTCTTTGGTTTGAAGAGACACCTGTTGTTCACGTTAGATAGTGTCTTTGTTATGCAAATAATGATTAATATAGAAGCCAAATACATACAGCAATTTATCTTTGCATCAACATGTCAAATCAATATTGCATTTATATATGTCTAGGTTACAACATATGTTTCATAGCCAACTGAAATCAATTATAGAAATGTGAGATGCTGTTACAGTAAATCATCTCACATCGGTAATAATAATTATATAATATGGACATACATGTATTTTTATATGTATGCATTAAATGAATTTAGAATTCCTTAAATAGTTGTGTATAATTAATATTATTTTAATCATATCAATATGTCTTTAATGCCGTGGGTGACGAAATGGAAGCTGCTTTTGAGTGCGTTTGAATTAAAATACTTTTTTATTATTTTTCTTCAATGACGACATACGTAACATAGCATAACATAATATTTATTCAGCATTAAATGTTACAACATTTATAGCCATTTCAATATATAATACAAACATATAACACACCGTATTACCGGCGGCAGTGATGGCAGATATCTGAAAATTACCGATCGATACAGGTAGGTTATAAATTTGGTTGGTTTAATTATATTACACCTTGCTGTATCGTCCATGAACAAGTTCAATCAAACCGAGCCTGCAGTATTTTCAGTTGCCGTTTTGACGTTTTTTAGGGATTCTTTTTTTCTCTATTTTCAGAAGTCTTAGTAGCTGTCGGTGTTTATAAATTAAATTGCAATCTACAAACCTTTAAAAGTTCTATCTGTTTAATTGTGTTGCACAGAATATGGTCATATCTTTTCTTAAATTTCTCTCATGAACTGAATTGAAACATTACATAATGTAGTGCAACACGTTTTATATGAAATAGTTGAAGCAACGCTAGAATTAAAAGTAATGGAATTATAACATGTTTTGTGTTTTTCGAACTTGCTACATTTGTTTGCAATACAGCATTTTATTAATTTTTGCATTCGGACCTATAATTCCGTGCCTTTGTGGTGTGCTTGCCAAACCCTTCATAACATATATTAATAAGAGATTGATACACTGGAAGGTGATAACTGGTCCACAAAACGAAGAATGGCACCGAAGTCTTCAACCCGAGAGCATTATTCATTTCACGGCCGATTATCACTTTCTGGCCCATCTATGATGTGTGTTAATGTTTTGACACTTGATTTATCTAATAGTAGCATTTTTAATTTTTTTTGATATTTCTTTCGTTTAAATTCCTGTCTCTGTAAAAAAAAATTCTGAACAGTAACTTCTACATAGTTGCTTAATGCCCTTATGTGCACAGTAGAAATATTCAGTGACAGGAATTTCAACGAAAGAAATATCAAAGTATGGGGGACATTATTCATTTTGCGGGCCGATTATCACCTTCCGGTCCTACTCTGTCGTGTATCTAGTTCTTTTTACACATCAATCCATGAAAAGAAAACGAAAGTTTGAATTTTATTTAATATTTGGCGATCTTGAAGGTGTGTCTTATCGGCACAGGCTAAGCCATGTGGCGGCAAAAAAATCTCACAGTACAATAATGAAATAGGGAGAAATAGAATCCCGATAGAATGTCAAAAACGGCAAAATTGAAAATGATGCAGACTCGTTTTGATAAAGCCTGTTCATGGACGGTACTGGAAAATGCAAGTTACGCTCACGCCCGTTAACAACGGCTCAGGCAGTATTTTTACATTGAAACATGTACCAGTGGAATTTTGAATTTAGAAACATCCGCAGATGCGTTCATATGTCGGTTATTATGGAACTTTCGATGTGACACGTTAGTCATTCTATGGAAAGCGGCGTTTGGACCCCAAGTAAAACAAATATTGTGCCATAAACGAAAAATCAAAGGACGGAGTTAAATAGAATGGAATTTTGAAAGGGGAGTAGAGGTAATGAAGTATGCATATCACAGATAAGCTGTCAAAAAACAAATTTAAAAAGCAGGCATTGGTGATTAAACAGTATTCAAGTAAGGAAGACTGGGACCATTCAACTGGAATTAGCCAAACAGGAAGAACTAGAACACATCAGTTATGTCGTGCCGAAAGAGTTTCAATGATATCAAATGTACGGGGCCACTTTTACGGCCTCCACGCGGCACAAACAAAGCCAATGTGGCAATAAAATAGAAAAAATTAAAATCCTTAACCCTTTCCCCCATGAGCATATTGTGAAAAATGGCCGTTTTCACTGAAAAGCCCCCTGTTACAAGTTCAAACTGCTATGAAACTATGAAAAATGCTTCAATACTAATCAAACTTGGCACAAATGTTGACTGGACCATTGTCTTTGTAACGACGTGCTCAGTCTTAAATTTACTGTTACCATGGCAACGAGGGGACATCTCAAAATTGCCAAAAATCACTATTTTGCCTCGATTTTTTCCATCAAAATTTATTTCAAAGTGCTGCAACTGCTCAAGGGATTGAGATAGAGTCAAAGGCTTTTCATCGTTGGTTAAACGTTACATTATGATCGACCTGGGGTCATTTTTAGCCTCTCACAAGTCCAAAATTTTCTTGGCGATGAGGGGGACTCCGCCCCCCTTCAAACCCCCCTAACAGAAGGGGGCACATCCCCCTTCTGGCAACCCCCTGATGTATATTTTGGATGGGGGGCGGCGCCGAAAAAGTGCTCAATTTTTTAAGCAACATTTTTCAAACGAAAACTTATGTTTGGGGCCCAAATAGGACATTTTTTCACTATTTGAGGCCTAAAAAAGGGGGGGGGGGTCAAAAGTGCGTTGTTTCGCGTATATATGTGGTAAAGGGTTAAAGACCGTCAAAAACGAGAACAATGAAAATGTTCAATTTGACCGAGTCCGTTCATGGACGGTACTGGAAATTGCAAGTTACTGTCCGTGATGAGTCTCTATATTGCGTGATATTAAGAATCACATGGAGATTGCTGCTATTTTAAACGGAAAGGTTTAAGGCTAAAGGCACGAAATTATTTCATAAACAATGTTTCCAGATTTATACACGTGTACTTTTTATGTTCCCCGAAAAATTTCGGGGGAGCATATAGTCGTCGGGTTGTCCGTCCGTCCGTCCGTCCGTCCGTCTCGAATTCGTGTCCCGCCCATAACTTTGTTATTTGAAGTCGGATTTTAAAACTATATCACAGAAATGATCACCATATTGAGACGACGTGTCGCGCGCAACATTTGGGTCGCTGCCTTGAAGGTCAAGGTCACAGCATGACCTTGCAGCAAAATCGTATCCGGCCCATAACTTTGTTATTTGAAGTCGGATTTTAATGATCACCATATTAAGACAATGTGTTGTGCAAAACATTTGGGTTGTTTTTACGCTTTGAACTTTGTCTGTGACATAACTCTGACACTACAAGAGGTATATTTTCCTGTGTCCAGAACCTATTCGGGGAGCATCACCCGTTCAATCGGCTCTTGTTTAATACTGATTGTATTACTGCCAGATACATGCGGCCTCTGTGTTGTCTGTGTAAAGGTCAGATTTTAGTTGGCACAAAACATTTTAAAAACTGACTGAAATGATGTCCGTCCCAGGACCGCTTTGAAAAGAAATGTTGCTGCTGTTGAAGATCTACTTAAACAAGATGCCAAACTTACAGTCAAAGAACTTATATCATCGGGATCAGTTTATAAGATTTTGGCTCATGAGAAAACAAAACTGGAAAAAAAGCTTTTTGGTTTGTTGGGTCCCGCATCACGGAAGAACAAGAGGATACCCATGTGAAATTGCCAAACATCTTTTTAGAAAAAAAATAAGAGATCTGATGAACTTTGGGTGTATTATTTTGAGCCCAACAGACGTGTCAATAATGGGAAGTTGTCACACAAAGCCAAATGTAGACCAGTCGTGTCAATAATAGGCAGTTATTTACAAAAAGCCAAATGTAGACCAGTCATAGCCAAACGAAAAAGAAGTGGGTGTATTAATTATTTTGAGCCCAATAGACGTGTCAATAATAGGCAGTTGTTACACAAAGCCAAATGTAGACCAGTCATAGCCAAACGAAAAAGAAGTGCCGTATTTTTCAATTCTGGTGGACCTGTTGTTTAAATTCCATTTCCAATTGGACAAACAGTTTACTGTTAGATATTATGACAACAATGTGTTGAAAAAGGAAAAAATATTGTACCAAATAGGTAGACTTTCAACCACACTAAGAGGCTTTTATGCATGACAATGCAGCTACTCACAAGCGCGCGGGTTCCGGAGTCCCTAGAAAGGAAAAGCTGGTACATCGGACATTACTACCTGTGATTTTTTCTGGTTTTCCTAATTGAAAAAATACTCTCTCTATATACGTCGACATGACTCAAAGTGCGTTAGGATGTACAATTTCAAAGTGTCTCAGGTTGTGCTAAAAAAGGCGTATTTTTCTGCCTTCACAAAATGGACTTTTATGGTAAGAAAATGTATTTCTGCTAGGGTGGATGCTTGAAGGGTTTAAGTAAATTTTATTTGACTTCGTCTCAAAACGTGGTTTGAAGACTCACATGGACAAACTTCTGAATGAACGCTACTCGTAAACGGGAATTATTGTATCATTATATACGCAATATGACATATATTGAATGCATTATATTTTAAACCATACAAATATAAAAGTGAAGATGTAAACTTTTCCTTTCATTTGTACATTTTATTTTCTGTCGCCTCACATTATTGCAGAAACATATGTATTTTTCTATTTTTTTCTTTTATACACTTTTGGTGTTCATTCTGTAGACATACAACATTTGAGGCACATGATACATTCATTAAGTATATATCATCTATATATTCAGCTATCATGCTCTTACAGAAACGAATTTGCTATTTGCTTTCGGAGTGTTGCCGAAACATTGTTCATAGAAATAATATGGCTTCAAGTCCTAAGTTTAATGATTTGCTTCTATAAAATTACAGATGGTGATAAAGATATCGCGCAGAGTAAGCACACCAAGCCAAAAGATACCATGACAATTCGTTCATAAAATATGTAGTTTATGCTGGTGTTTCATTTTTACAATGCTTTCTAACTGCACCTTTACCAGTACTGTATTTTTTGTTTGTTTGCATCTTTCTTTAAGATCCTGCGTCCAAATTATTAGATTTTTGCGTCGTTGTCCTTGACGTTGTCACCACAAGGACGCCGATCTCTCTCTTCTGCGTACAAACAGACTTCTGATAATCTCTATATCGAAATTAGATACTGTTGTCTGTTATATAGGTTTATAACATAAAGAAAATATATATTTCAAATCAAACGTTATCACATACCCGTTGCCGTTTTGCCACTCCGTAAAAATGGTATTGCACGGCCATGCATATATTTTGACATGTCGCCATTAGCGTATACGAACGTAGTGTAAATACGCGCTAAATGCTTTAAGCGCGTCAATGAAAAATGACATACATACATAAATTTATCTTTGCATCAACATTTCAAAACAATATTGCATTTATATAAGTCTAGCTTACAACATATGTATCATAGCAACTGCAATCAATTATAGAAATGTGCGATGCTGTTACACAAAATCATTTTATTTCAAAAGATTACCCAAACGTTGGTTACATAAACAATATAATATTGCGATTTTTTTATACGTATTCCTAAAATAAAATTTAAATTCCCAATGAGTGTCAGATATACGAATCTCTAAAATAGTAGTGTGTAATTAATTCTACTTTGATATTAATATAAATAGCATATAAATATATATTTATTGTCGTGGGTGAGGAAATAATAGCTGCTTGTGTATGCGTTTGAATAAAAATCCTTTTTATTACTTTTCAGAACTAGTATAAAAAAGTACAGCTTTTATAATTTACGCTTATGTTCTGTTAAACAATAACGCCCATTCCGAATTGAATTCACACGAAGAATAAGTAACCATTTCGTCTATTCTTTTAAATTTTCATTGACACCTGTTGAATGTTGAATTTCATATGTGTTTAATATACTCTTCATACTAACGTGCATTTAAATCACAGTAACGGGAGCAAACATTTACAATATAGAGTTAAAATATGCTTGTCAAGAAAAAAGAAATAAACTATTATGCTCAATCAAATCTGGAACAAAAAGAAAGAGAAATATTCTAAATACATGTAATTGTTTTCCCTAAACTCGGATATTACAATGTACTTTTCTCTCATCCTTTTCATGAACTGGATGAGAAATTGTAGATATTGCATTGTAACAATACCACGTTCATCTAAATCAAATGATAGTTTTCACGAGGCATTGCATAATGTTATGTATTGATTTACAATATGGAAAGAGTAAAAGAGGTATAATATTTTATAGTGAACAACATTTTCTATTTGCAACAGTTTATACAACGTTTGCAAACAAATATGTTGCAATTATCACACCTTTAATTACTTTTATATTTTTCGAACTTGCTATATTTTGTTGGCTCTACAACAATGGTTGATACTGAAATAAGAACAGCTTATGTTTACAAGGCAAAGTTAGCTGAACAGTCTTTAAGGTTCGATGATGTTTTGAGTGCTATGATGTTTGTATCAGAGATGAATCAATCGCTTACATATGAAGAAAGGAATTTACTTTCAACGTCTTATAAAAAATCTATCGAGACACGCTTATTCTCATATAAAGTAGTGCAACAAGTTGAGGATACTGAACATGGTGAATTTTTAGACATTGCTAAGGATTACCGTATGGCAATTGGAAATGAAATATTTGATATTTCTAACAAAGTTTTGTTTATTTTAGCGAACAACCTAATACCTAACGCAAGTGATATCGAAAGCAAAGTATTGTTCTTAACAATGACAGGTGAATCATACAGGTATATTGCCGAAATCAAAGATAAGAATAAAACGGAAACAATTGAATTGGCCATAGTATCCTACGCGGATGCAATAGACATTGCTCGAACTGCTCTAACCGGAATGAATCTAATTCGACTGGAACTGGCATTAAGTTATTCTATGTTTTACCATGATATCATGAATGATATTGACCGTGCTATTGAAATTGCAAGCTCTGAGTTTCATTGTGCAATTGTGGAGTTAGACGGTACCGAACATGATACAATTGATGCAATTTTTCAGCTTATAAGAGTACTTAAAGACAAAATAGATTTATGGACTGAAGAAAATAACGCCGATAGTCGATAATGAACACAACTGACGGAAAGAACACAATCATATTTATATTTAATAATCTGATTAATGTACACTAATTATGTAAAGACTTTTGTCTAACACTAAAGATTATTTCATGTAAATTGATATATTAAAATCATATACATGTATTATTATAACTACACATACAATTTATAACTTATTGTCATGACAATTCTGATATCCTGTATCATAACTTCCCTTGTTTTGACCAAAAAACTTTGAAATTATGACTTACACATTGGCTGATTTATACCATGGAGCTTAAAATATATAGATATATCTGTGTTAATACGAATACAAATTTTCAAAATTATCTATTAGATCTGACAGAATATATTAAATTTAGATAACATATTTCATTGTAAAATATCTTCAGCTAGTAACTAATCGCAAATATAGCAATTCCTGATAATTCTGGAGCGAACAATTTTGCATTCCACATTAGACAACCGTGAATCAAATGCGCTTGTTAACATAACAAATTTCTTTGGTTTGAATAGACACCTGCTGTTCACGTTAGATAGAGTCTATGTGATGCAAATAATGCAATATAGAAGCCACATACATACATCAATCTATCTTTGCATCAACATGTCAAAACAATATTGCATTTATATATGTCTAGCTTACAACATATGTTTCATAGCCATCTACAGAAATGAGCGATGCTGTTACATTAAATCATTATACACTGGTAGTAGTAGTAATAATAATAATATAATATGGACATACATGTATTTTTATATGTATGTATTAAATGAATTTAGAATTCCTAAAATAGTTGTGTATAATTAATATTATTTTAATATTAATAAATAGCACATCAATACATGACAAAACCAACATAATGGGTTTGCGACCAGCATGGATCCAGACCAGCCTGCGCATCCGCGCAGTCTGATCAGGATCCATGCTGTTCGCTATCAGTTTCTTTACTTGTAATAGAGGTTGGTCTGGATCCATGCTGGTCGCAAACCCATTATGTTGGTTTTGTCGTGACACGGCTCATATCTTTAATGGTCAGGGTGACGAAATGGAAGCTGCTTCTGAGTGCGTTTGAATTTTCTTCAATGGCGATGCCTTTATGTAGCTCAACATGTTCCTGAGCAACAGATGAACTTAAAGACCAATATAAAAATAATAAAATGAAGTTATTACTTTTTCCTTTCCCATTTACAGATTTTATTTTCTGACAACACACATCTATAGGTAGACATCTGTTATATTTCTATTCAAGATGAGCCTCACATTTTGGTAGACAGTGTGTAAACAAACACTCTTTGGCATGTGTTACATTTATCATTTCATACATAAAGTTTTATTACAAACTTATTTGGCAATAAATATACATCATTTATATGTGTGCATATATATTCAAATGAAGAACACTACATTATGTCATAACAGGAAATCATAAGACGAAACATGGTATATAGAAAGAATATGGAAAGGTTCATGTTTCAAGTCTTAAGTTTAATGTTTTGCTTACATACAATTGTTTTAGTTAAAATACAGGTGGATGGAGATAAAGAAGCATATATATACCGTGCAGCATTAGCACAACGTGACAAAAGATACGACAACATGATGGCGTTCATGGAAAAATTGCTGATATGAATATCGGGTTGTCACCTAAGGAAAGGAAATTACTTATTTTTGCATATGAACATGCTATTGATAATCTGTTATTCTGGACTTCTCTGAGAAATTTCGAGGAAATGGGAAACGGCAAATTGCATCAAATTGCCATGAAATACAGGATGGAAATTGGAGCAGAAATATTTAATATTTGCACAGACTTTTTAACAATTCTAAATAATCGTAAATTGTACCCATCTCCTAATGATGCAGAAAGTAGAATTGATATTCTAACAATAAAAGGAAATCAATATTGCTTAATCAATGAAATTACAGTAGGAAATGAAACTGCGTGTGAAAAGGCCACACACTTGTACGAGGAAGGGTATAATTTAAACGAGGACATATCTCCATTAAACCCAGTGCGGCAAAAATTTATTGACAGCTATGTTTCTTTTCTACTAAACATTGAAAAAAAACTACTATGAAGCTATTGCTTTAATCCAACAAGAATTCGATTTGATTCATAGTTTGAATCAAGATCTTTAGATAAAATAAATCAGAAGATCGTGCATCGGAAAAAATGATAAAGATTTAAAACATATGCCAAGAGAACGATGAGGATTTATAACACGCTTAATATTTTGTAAACTAATTTAATATCATGAATTATATTATACGTTTAAACCTTGATGAAACGGAGTTTTCATATCTTAATTTATACTTTACAAAATATTGACATGTAACAAAAGTTTCGGAGGCTTTCGTTTAAAAGTATACTATGCTCATCTTTGAGTAAAATATTTAAATCAAAGAAATGTGTTAAAACCTATGAAATCCTTACTGAATTTGTCTAATTTAAATATAAAAATAAATTATCAATGTATTGGAAGCCACGTTCCCTATTACAGGACAAGTAAAGTTGATATTTTCTTTAAAAAAAACTGCCAGTTTTTTTAACGACACTATATGTATTCATATTTTGACCACCTATAGTGTGTGGAGTTTTAAACATGACATATCTATTTTGTGTGAAGTCAAAACATGTTTATTTTATATTTACAAAGAGACTGTGTAGCAATTACCAATAATTCCTGATATCAAATTTGAGCATAGAATATCTTTAATTTCTTTGAGATATTTTAATCTTACAACGGTAAATATATTGTGTTGTAAGAGATCGATCGTATCTGTATTTGATAAAAAAAATGTAACTTTTTCTTTTGCTGAATAATCCGGAGATAACGGAAATATGCGTACCATCGCAGAAATACACAGAACGGGGTTTTAAATTAATAAGACTTTGTATAATTACAATATGAGAAGACAGTCCTTATTGTGAAATGTTTATGTACTTCAATAAATAAAACTCATATACATGTATTATAATTAACTGCGTATACAATTTATAACTTTTGTCATGAAAATTTTATATGGTAAATTATGTACCAAAAATGAATTAAAATTGATTGCATAACGTTTTAATTATCATAATATTTATCAATAAGTCTTGACAGAAAACTCACCTTTCCACAAAAGACAAATAATTCTTATAAAAAACTGCGCATCATAACAATATGATGGCCCAAATATCGCTCACCTGATCATAATGGCTCTAAATTACATATGGCACAATTACATAGTTAGCTATGAATAAAAAGCAGATATGAGTTAAACATCTAAAACTGACATCACAAAGTTCATACCTGCACGTTAAATAGTGCATATGTGTAAAAGTATCTAGAGTTGCTATTGAAAGCAAATCTATAAGGACAATTTTAAAAATTGTCGTCCATTGGCTTTTGTGACACATGTACCGGTATCCAACTGATTGGCACCATTTGAATAAACTTGAAAAAGCTTCGTGCAAGGAATATTTTCTCCAAGTTTCATCAGATTTGGACTCGTAGCTTCAAAGGAGAATTTATTTGAATGAATTGTAGTCGGCGGACAACAGTCAATTTAAGATTTAAAATAATATGTAGAAGTGGGCAGATATATACCTTTGATGTATATTATTCATGTATGAAGATCCTTTATTTTTGTACTGTTTATCTAGACAGACTGACGATATCAAAACAGAAAGAAATCTGCTGAGAATTAAGAACTAACTGATCGATATATGTATTCAACTGCGTAGACAAACAACTTTTCAGGCCGCATATGTTTCAGTCATTAATGTATACATCAACTTAGAATGAAATTGTTTTTGCATCACAAATAGGTATATACGAGTACATGTATATACGACTATATTTATTCAGCTAACAAACGCTGTATCGTGTTATCACAGAAACGCGTTTTGTTTTCAGTGTTGCCGAAACATTGAAATATGGCACGACTTTTGTTTCAAATCCTAAGTTTAATGTATTGCTTACATACAATTCATTCTGTTATAGTTAATGCGGGTGGTGACAGGGAAACATATACATACCGTGCAGAATTAGCATAGCGGGCCAAAAGATACGATGACATGGTGGCGTTCACGAAAAGAATTGCTGAGATAAATTTCGAATTGTCACCTAGGAAAAGGGAAATACTTTCTTCAGCATACACACATGCTATTGATAATCTTTGGTCCTTCTGGACTTCTCTGAGATATGGCGAGCAAGACGAGGACGGCAAAAGGTTTCAAATTGCAAAGACATTGGAGAAGAATTATTCAATATTTGCACAGACTTTTTAACATTGCTAAATAATCGTAAATTGTACCCATCTTCTAATGATACAGAAAGTAAAATTGATATTCTGACAATAAAAGGAAATCTATATCGCTTAATTAACAAAGTTTCATCAGGAAATGAAACTGCGACTGAATAAGCCACAAAAAATTCGAGAAAGCGTATAGCTTATTAAACAAGAATATGTCCCCACATAAACCAGTTCGACTAAGGTTAATGAGCAGCTATGTGGGGTTTCTAATGGACACTGATAAGAACTTAACCAAAATTCTTGCTTTAACACAAATAGAGTACAATTTGTTATAAAGGATAAAGAAGTTTAGATATACAGATTATATTGTATATTAAAAATGACAAAATGCATGTATGTTTACATATTTTTTTGAACTGGCAAAATAAAAGTGATACTAAATTGATAAGACTGTATCCAATAATGATTTATATTTAGGGATCGCATTCTGCAAATGCTAGAAGTTCATTGGCTACATTGTATAAGATGTTCATAAAGCACCTTCAAATATATTTTTATGGACAACAAAACATAACAAATTTACAGCATATTATTTATTTTTAGATCATTTTAACAACATTTATTAAATGATTAACAGAGTAAATATTTGTAGACATGTTATACAATAGTCTCTACCACATTCACCTTAAATGTTATATCACAGATAAATATCATAATAGATGTAGCACTTTTTTCATACAATTTATAAATACACTAATCTGTTTACAATGTAAAACATAAGCAATTTTGTAGGAATCTACGCTCTTGGTAATACATAAACAAACTAAAAACATACCTTGTAAATTACAAATTATCCTTTAATACTTGTCAATACAACCTTTATTTAGAACCCAACCATATGAAAAGCAACATCAAGCCAAAAATCATTGTATCAGATTTTTATGCCATAAAACAATAGGAAGACGCAATATTCAATCTCATTAAAATGATATCCTAAATGTCGCTCCACTACCCATCATAGCAAAGAGTAATGGAGCGAAAATGACATTTTAATGAGATTTCCATATTCAATTAGACCACACCAGTCAACTGATTGACAAAAAAGTCTGTAAGCTGGTCAAATGTTTTTGTAGTGAAGCGAATGGCGTCATAATCCAGTTAATGTCATCAACATGATTCAAATTATATTATGATCAATCATAAGAAGAAGGTTATAACAATTTAACTGAGGAAAGTGTAATGAGACAGGTCAAAACTGTTTTGTTCAAAGAGAACTTTTATCTTGAATTATTGTTACAGAAAGCGTTAATTTTAAGATATAATTTTACAAGCAGACACACCTTTAGCCAATCTATATATTAAAATAATTGAAGAAAAGGGAACTTGCACAATTTAATTTCAAGCGTACAGAACATATTTATAGTTAAAATAGTGACCAGACAAGATATTTCAAAAAAGGTTGAGCCGCCTGACCTTCCAATGATAGCATATATATGACTTGCTTTTACCGCAAGTATCCCTGGCTTGTAATTTCACCTGCTACTTAAAGTAACAGTATGCCCTTCCAAGGGTATATAGAAGGTGAAATTCAACATAAGTTTACATTTTGCAATAATTCATTTCAATTTTATAATTTTCTTCACATGATTGGTAACCAACTCACATGGCCTCGAAATTTTTTGTAAATATCCATTGGAATTTAGCATTAACATTCAGTTTTTAAAATGAGTGGGGCAGTCGCCTTATATTTTAAGACAGATATATTTTTTTTCTAAATATTTCCTAGTACATTATCAACTTTTAGTCACTCATCATTATAACTGTAAGTCTTTTGAAATTTATACACAGAAAAATAAGCAGAATGTCACTTTAATTGTAAAATCCTTAAACTTACAGTGACCAGTTTCAAATTCAATCCAAGAAATTTTATTTCCCCAATCAAGTAATCTTATTCTTAGAAGCCAAATATTTCAGCATATATATACCAGCATAAATTACATTAACAATATGAATATACATGTACAATATTACACAGATGAAAGACAGCTTTATTCGTTGGATAATGGCATTTTAAACAAGAGGGCCATGATGGCCCTTATTAATTGGGTGCTCACCTGATTATTAAGGCTCTTATTAACCCTTTCGCTGCCAGAGGGTTACTGTTTTATTGATCACCTATTTGCCAGAGGGTTTTCTAAAAAATTACTATATTATTAATTAATATAATTATTATTATTATTTGTTATTAGTATTATAATAATTATATATGTTTCCAAATATGCTAGTATAATAATAATTATTATTGATGGTATAATTTTCTTTATATTTATTATTATTTTTATTATTATTATTAATTTATTATTATTATTATTATAATTATTGTAGAAACGCCTAAAGCCGTCCATATGGCAAATACGCTGAAAATAACAGGGACGGCTTAAGCTGTCCCTATGGCAGTGAAAGGGTTAACAAGCAACAATTAATATTGTTAGCTATGAATGAAAAGCAGATATAATATTATAATGTTAAACTGATATCATGAAATTCATATCTGCACCTTAAAGAGTGCAAATGTAAACAAGGTTTTTCCATATTTGGGCTGTGTCGCCTAGTTTTATATACCCCAGCTGACCCACATTCTAACTTGACATAGAAATCATTTAAATTACCATGTTGACACATTTTCAGGATATTTGGGCTAAAATATTACATTTATAGTATCCATATTTGGGCTCTATGGCCTTGTTTTTGACCCCGCTAGACCCATATTCAAAGTCAAGCTAGAAATCAACATAACATCCTTTCTGACCAATTCAAAGGATATTTGTGCTGAAAATGTTACCTGTACAGTATTAACAATGTTTTTCGATATATGGGCTGTGTGACCTACTTTTAAATGACAGATGACACAAACTTCATCTTAAGCTAGAACTTTCTGGCAAAATGCCTAGGATGGTTGAGATAAAAATTTAACCTGTAGAGTGTTAACAAAGTTTTTACCATATTTGTGGTGTGTGACTTAGTTCTAGACCCTACATAAACCATATGCTAGAACTAAAGCTAGAAATCATTACATCAACCTTTCTGATATATTTCTAAGATATTTGCGCTGAAAATATCACCTCTAGATTTTTCAATATTTCCGTTGTGTGAACTTTTTTTTGATCCCTGATGACCCATATTCAGCTTTTAAACAGCTTTTCTGACAAACTTCCCAGTATCTGGACTGAAACGACAGCCACTAGAATGTTAGTAATATTCTTTTTAATTTTGGTATAAAAAAAGTAAAAATTCAAATGCATGCACTGACCAAATATGGTGTCAATTGAGGCAAAAATGTAACCACTCTATAGAGTGCTTATAAACTAAATGTTGAAGGACGACAGACAATGACGACAGACATTAAATGATCCTAAAAGCTCACACTGAGCCAGCTCAGGTGAGCTAAAAAAAGAAAAAAGAGTCCAACAGGCACCAGACTGTGTTTAACCATCATCAAGTGGCTCAGTATCATCAAATGTTTCTTTACTCTCCTCTTGTAAACGTTTCTTCCTAAAAGTATAAACAAGCCATGCTTTACAATAAGACTAAATCTCCAAGGATTATCCGCTAAGTTTTGAGACTGTCGCTATCTCTAAACAAGAGCTTCCCAAGGAGCTGTATGTTCCACTTTTCTCAGTACTTGATAGTATAATTAAAGCAAAGTATAAAATGGGTCATACTTCTTATAAACTATTTGGCAGAACCTTTTTGCTTTGATAATCAACAAATATTTTAAGTTTGAAGTGAATATCTGTGATGGTTTTTGGGAAAGTTATGAAAGTGAAGAAATTAAGGTAATTTAAGTGGATTGTAAGTGCCAGTTGCAATGTGTAAATACTTTCTTTGTTCACTTGACAATATTTTATTTTTAAATACATTTTTCAAATTTTCATAATAATTAGCATGAATCTGGAGGCATAATGCTTTAAACCAGCACTTCTTCTTTACCTTCTTGCCATTTTGGCATGTCTACGTCCCCAAAAGGGAGTGGGACATATTTGGGAGATAGATTGGTTGATTAATGTACATGATGTAAGACCATGTGTAAGGTGTGGAAATAAATGAGAATAAGCCAAAATTGTACTAACCTAGCTTCTAATCTTGCACATTTTGGACATTTTAGCGGTACAAAACATTCCTTGTGATAGCATGATTTACAATCTACAAATCAAAACAATAAAATAATTAACATGTCTTATCAACTTTAAAAGTACATTATGTTCTTTTCTTTTCAAACTTATAAATTATTGGGTTTTTCTTTTTGACAGTTTTTGCGATCAAAATATATGGAAAAATCAGGAGGTATTTCCCCCTGCCTCAAGTGTATATTTTTATTCTGAAATAAATTGAAAATCCTATTTCAATACTATTCTTGGTTTCGATTTTGAGTGAAATGCATTGCAATGCTTTTCAATTTGGGTCATTTTTCACAACTGAAATAATTATTCTGGAAAAACAGAGTGAGTGAATGACCTGACAATTCTAGTTAAACAAGCAATTATCATAGTATTGCAAGCAATCCATAAGTCCCCTACCGGTTAGAACCCCAGCAACATTCTGAAGGGCCATTGGCCATTCACTTATGTTTCTATTTTAAGTAAATTTGTTGAAAAAGTTCTTTAAAAGTGATCACAGGAAACAGTTTTTATGTACAGACAGACGGACTGAAGGACACTCTACAGTTATTTTTTAAACATCCTTGTTATCAAAATATAACATTTTTAAAAGCAACATTTTTAAAAAAGAGATAACTCTTGAAATAAAGATGCAAGATGTCACACATGATGTGAGTGTAACAAAGACAATTAGTAATGATGGTATGAATAATGAATGTTCATTTTGAATTTGAAGTAAATGAAAGTTTAAAGAACGAATAAGAAAAATTAAAAAGTTTAAGGAGGAGATAATTCTGGAAATATGGATGCTAGATTTATAAACCTTGTCATATTATTATGATGTGGGAGTTTGAAAAAAAATCCTATCATGATTGAAGAAGTTGGAGTAAAAATTACCAATTTCTCGAAAAAAAGTCTAAGTTCAAAAGGGTCATAATTCTGGAAATAGTCTTGCTAGAGTATTGAACTTTCTCACAAATGTTGAGTGATAATAAGAAACATATATATGAAGTTTGAAGTAGATACATTCAGAAAAAAAGAAGTTATGAAAAAAAAACAATATTTTTTTCATGAACATTTTAAGTTCAAGGGAGGTAATTCTCATAATTTTTGTGCTAGAGTTGTAAACTTTGTCACATATGATGTGGTTGATGACTAGCAACTTATATTTAAAGTTTGAAGAAAATACCTTAAGAAATAAAGAACTTATAGTGAAAAAACTTAAAAACTAGAATCAGAAATCTTGAAATTCAGTCTATTTGTTGCCATAGCAACCAGAATTTTCAACATAGGAAGATAAGAAAAGGATGTGCATAATTTCCAGACTGCCATCTACCCATATGTCAAGTTTCATATAAATATTTTCAGTACTTTTTGCGTTATCACTGGATCCAGGTTATGTGTAAAATTTGCCATATTTTCAGTCTATTTGTTGCCATAGCAACCAGAATTTTCAGCATAGGAAAAAAAGAAAAAGACGTGCATAATCTCCATACTGCCAGCTATCCATATATCAAGTTTCATAAAAAAAATTTCATTACTTTTTGCGTTATCACGGGATTCAGGTTATGTGTAAAATTTGCCATATTTTCAGTCTACTTGTTGCCATAGCAACCACAATTTTCAACATAGGAAGAAAAGAAAAAGACGTGCATAATCTCCATACTGCCATCTATCCATATATCAAGTTTCATAAAAATATTTTCAGTACTTTTTGCGTTATTGCGGGATCCAGTTTTGTGGACGGACGGACTGACGGACGGACGGACAGACAGACGGACGGAGGGTAAACCTAAAGTCCCCTCCGGTAAACCGGTAGGGGACTAGCAAATATATGGAGCAATATATGGATAAAAAGAACTAGGAACTATGACTTACTCTGACATATGCTGACTTTATGAAGCTGGTATGGAAATATCACATCATTTTGCTTTCTACACATCTCACAGATAAATCCAAAACATTGACAGTACTGCAATATATAACAAATGAATATTCAATTTTCTAAAAATCATTTCACTCAAAATACTTTCAACATCATATAATTTTCTCTACTTTTGGCTACTGAATTTCTAAAATGGACTTGTCCAGCTTCCATTTTAGGGACTGTCCATTATCAATTCTGGGGATATCAAAACGAAAATTTAAAGTTTATCAGCCTATAGTATAGAGCCTAGTGAGACTCTATACTCATGGCTAAGACTTTGGTTCCCACAATGCAAGTGTAAATTATTGTTATTGTTGAAGCTTTATGTTAAATATCTTAATCTGTACAATATAACATGACAATTTCCTTTCTAAAAGAAACACTAAAACAATATTAAGCAGCAGCACAAAAACATATGTAACAGTAAAAACCATCCAAGATGTAACCTGGTACAATGTTATAAGGAAAGTACATCAAGTGTTCAAAATTTCTTGCAAATTAAAACAAGAGCATGTCATGCAGTGAGAAGACAAGACTGCTCAAAGCAACAACTAAATATCTAACTCAAGAGTGACATGGCTGTTATGCACTTCACTTCCCAATAAGATGAATATTTTTGTGTATTGTATCCATATGAAAATGTGTATTGTATTCATTTTCCGAAATGTGTATTGTATCTATAGGAAAGCTTATTTTCGATAAGAAACGAGGCATAACTCTAGAAATACTAATCACATATTTATGTCCCAAGTCCAAAAGTGTATTAGTAAGTATCCCAAGAATAACAATATCTTTGACAGTTTTCAAAATTTTCTTCACATAAAACACCTACCTGACAAGATTCTACATGTGATATTGCAGCAATAGCCATTCTCTTTAATTGGCAATACATGTGACCATTTGTACCAGTCTTTACCTATAAAACAATCATTAAAGTCTATAAATTTATATCTCTACTTCCAGCAGTTTACATAAATTGTGTTTGATTTTTTGACAAAGAAACAAAATTCCCAAACTGCTTGTATGATAAAAATATGTTGGTATTTTTCTTTAAAAGAATATGGTGCAGGCACAGAATCATTGATAAACAGTTATAACCCTACTAAAAGCTGAAGCATAATATTTTGTTCCAGTCTTCTGGAACATTTTGTTCTGTTTACATACAATATGCATGTGTGTTAAATTACTCTTTTGAGAACCAACAGTAAGGTTATGGAAACAACATAATTTTACTTTTTTTTAAAAATATTCCATTAGATATAGAATATAATTATTATAAAGGGCAGCATAAGTTTTTTTCAAATTGAATGGTTACTGAGCAAATGGTGCTCTTGTAGACAAATTTATGTCGTCATTGTTTTTCACACACACTTTTTAGTTCTACCTACATGTATTTACAGCTTTTATAAGAACTCTTGTTTGACAAATATAGATATTTATATCCTCTCCTATATGAAGGCTACTTTTATCTCTTAAAAGACTGTCCAATGATAAAACAAATTCTGCACAAGCATTACCACATCTTGGTGTCAAAGGGTCGTAACTCCTTCTTTATTTAATATGAGTTACAACCTTGTCGCACCAAGCTCTCGAAATTTAGTTCAAACTTACTGAGATAAGATCGTTTATAGAGTACATATGAACATCTTCAATCCAGTGCAGTGGCAGCTTGGATATTTCTTCTGAAAGACTGAAAATATAAAACCTGTTGTTATAATATCTCCATATATATAGGACATAATAAAAATTTCAAGTAAAAAAATCATTTTTGCCAATGATAGTGGCAGTTTGGCGCATGCACAGACTCATTGGTGAATAGTTGATTGGAACTTAACTAAAAACTGAGAAATTGAGTTTTGTACACCATACATTTCCCAAATGATGCTTTTAGTTAAATTTAACTCTATAAATGCTGGTGGCAAAAAATGACTTGCCTTTAGATGTCACCTGAATACAATTAGATTCCATTAGTGCAGAGAACAATTCCCAGTGATCCAATAAGACTTTATGATGATGGCTTAAATTACTTTATTTTTATTTATATTGCTTAAAATAACAATGGTCAGTTCAGCAGGTTTAGTCCATTACTAAAATGTAGCTTGTCTGTTCCAAAATCAGAAATACTATTAGTATCAAAATATTATAAGAATGTTTGCACTTTCTTGCTGAAAAACAACACTGAAAATATCATATGGTAACAACTTCTAGCCTTATTGGTGAACATCTCAGGCGGCAAAAAAATGCATTATTGTAAGCACAAGCAGGGACTTTGAGTAGAGCCGCCCAGAAGCTAGTTACATCACTTCACATGAAATAATTCAATGTCCTTGGCAGGGTTTAAATAAGAGCTGTGAAGATCATGTGACTGGAAGTCAGGAACCTTAACCTCAAATGACCATGGTAGTACCATTGGGAACCAAGTTTGATTAATTTCATCAGCATATTATTGATACACTTTTGCAACTTAATGTAAAAAGATCAAAAACAAATAATGTAATATGCTTGTCAAAGGGCTGTTAATGTTTTCACATTTTACCTTTCTCTAAGTAGGATTCAGGACTTGATGTGTTAACATGAACCTTGTCAATTTACTATTTTCATACTAAATATCAGAATATTCTGATTTACCAATTTTCATGATGAACAGGAAATCTTAATCTTATTAATAAACATATGTAATTATATAACAACTGACCTTGAAGCATATTTACACAATCCCATAAGTGACCTCAAATGATGTAACTGAATCCTCCAGTCATGTATATGTTCTAAATGTCGAACTTTTTTATACAACATTGCATTTATGTCTGATATGCTAAATAGAGGCTCCGCCGAAATTTTAGTCAAGAAATCACGAGCAAAATTTGACACATAATATTTGGTAAAATCCCATTTTTTCAGAATTCTTGCAGGGATCTCAGCTAGCTGGTTACTATGGCAACATTGGCAGAAATATTTCCCAAGATATTCACAGTATCTGTATCTTTTTGCATAACCTGGAATGAAAAATAAACACAATATTTGAATAAATAATTTCATCTGATTGACCAATAATAAAACTGTTTGATACAGAATTTTCATTTCAATTTACAACAATGATTTAATTTCCATCAATGGGTCAGAATACATATATTCAACCAACTCACTGCCATTTATCCTGAATCTTCCGAATTCCTTAAATGAACTTGTCCTAATTATATTATAGGAATGGTCCATCATAAGGTTTAGGAATATAAAGATGAAAATTTGAAGCTAGTTAGCTTACAGTATAGAGGCTGGTAAAACTGCATGAATGTGCTGCTGAGGGCAGGCTGGCCTGGCTTTATACTGGTGGCAAAAACTACAATCACTCTCAGTTCCAGCAGGTTAAGGTTTAAATCTCACTACATTAAACATATCAATGTAAGTAAAGGAAAATTACAGGTAGTTTGTTTCATTCCATTAATATAAGTAAAGGAGCTCATTTGTCTGTGCAAAAGCAATTTTTCAAAACGTTAAGTTTGAAGATGTCATAAAACTAACAAGTACACACAAGTACACATGTACATGTTGCAGTCTTAAAAATTATTAATGAAATATTATATAGATTACCAGGTTTGATTTGTAACTAGGCAATTTTCACTTTGAAATTCTTTTTATCAGCACGAGAGAAGAGAGAAAATTAACATTTGTGTTGCCATACAGCTACTGCTGATTTATAACATTGTGTATGGCTTATATACATGCCACAAATACAATAGAATATAAAATACAATCAGCACCAATATACCTTAAATTACAAAATAGTTTCTTGTGTCTGGCTTCTCCCCCCCCCCCCCCCCCCCCCCAAAGTTGAGGTGGCAATTTGATCGCACAATATTTACAAAAATTAATTGGGATATTAATCAAAATGTGACATATATATCATCTATAGGTTTGCTATAAATTAATGAATAAGTCTTTACCCAGCAAAACTACTAATATACATGTATTGTTTAAATATAATGCCTATTTTGAGTGATATCAACATACCTGGTTCGACCTTCATTCCACAACCCGCACATCTGTAATTCTGTTTGACCAGTACTGCCGTCCTCCTAGTAGAATTATAAATGTCAAATATAAACCATATTTTTTATATACAGTAAAATTCTTTCAATCACGTATCTGTAGTATGATTAACATAATGGATATAAAACAGTCAACCCTTTCAGAGACTTATACTACAGAGGGTTAAGAAGCTCTAAATATAGAAAATTTTCCTGTCAACCAGTACCTTGCTCGAGATCCATTAGCTCTTTGAGTAGATCATCTAGTTTCACATAGCTAAATTTTGTTACATTTTCAGTTATTACCAAGAATAATTCCATCTTCTTAATCTTTAATGTTTTTTTTTTTTTAACATTTTTGCAACTTCTTTTTCTTCACTTCTTTTGATTTCAATGATAAATTTGAGATAACCATGCAGCATTCATATCGTTAATTTCTATTGTGTCAAAAATGGTCTCAAAAAAATGTGACCTTGCAGGATAATAAATCCCTGATACAGATTTTAAGCATATGACGTCATAACTTCCTCTCCCTCTTAAAAAAGCACTGCGACACTTTCAACTTAAAAGTCAAATAACAATTTCCATTACCAAGTTCAAACTTAGTTGAAACTTATTTCCATAACCAAGTTCAAACTTAGTTGAAACTTAGTAGGAACCACTGTTACAAACTGTGTTATTTTCTCACATATAACAATTCAAAAATCTATTACATGGGTAATAAACAAGCAAACGTTAGAGACAACATGTTATTTCGGACTTTATCAAATTTCATGCAAACTGAACAAAAATAAAAATTTGACAGAAAAAATGAAGTCATTTCCGGATATAAGCAGTAAATTGCTTTATAACATTTGACATAAATTTCTGAAAACTCTGTCATATAACTTACTTTTGTGCTGAATGAATGTTAAAGATAATTTGTGGTCTTGGTGGCGCCCATTCCATATTGCCTCGTATCCTTGTCTGTTAAATAACACAATAACAAAACTTACAACAAATGAAATGTCAAAGGAAGGAAAAAATATGTCAAATCAACGGGATGATTCAGGCCCTTATGCAAATGTGGTTTAAAGATATATTATGTTCAAATTTGATATTAGAAAATAGATATTAGAAAATATTTATAATTGCTACACACTCTCTTTGTAAAAATAAACTCAAAATGTTTTGACTTCAAACAAAGTAGCTATAATATATTTGAAATCTTCAAACTAGAAGTGGTCACAATATAAATATATAGTGTCATCAAAAAGAGTGGGTAGCTGTTGTTTTTTTAAAGGAAAGACCAATTTTACTTAACCATTAATAAGGAACGCAGTGTCCGATACATAATTTATTCAATCTTTTATACAAATTAGACATATTCAGTAAGAATTTCAGAGATTTCAATAAATTCCTTTGATTAAAATATTTACTGAAGGGTGAGCATAGTATATCTTTAAGAATCCTTAATGACTGATCCACTGGTTTAGTTCTGCAAAATTGATTTTATTAACCCTTAACCTCCAGAATTTCTCAAATGGACTAGTCCAGCTTCTGTTTCTGGAACAGTCCATTATCAATTTTAGTGCAGACAAGAAGTAAATTTGAAGTGAGCTCACCGACAGCATAGAACCTGGTCAGACAGCATGGATGGTACAGGCCAGTTTGGCTCTATACTGGTGGCAAAGGCCACTTTGGATTCTTACAGAACAGGTTATGGGTTTAATAAGTCTTTTTAAAACAATTATTAGGTTAATTACTACAGATTTTTTTTTCATCTTAAATGTTGAAATGTTTAAATGCTGAAACATTTCATTAAAACTAAGACATAGTAGCATTAAAAGGAACAGGAATTAAGAATAAATAGAAAAAAAAAACCACAACTGTAGAAACAGATCTAACTTATGAAATGAAAGAAAAAATTTAATGAATACCCTGGAGGACTTGACTAGTGGTTTTGACTTGTTGGAATTTTCCGCATCATCCGGTGAAACAGGATAAGAGTTGGGTAGCGGTAACAACTGAAAGGTAATATTATTGTAAATGTATAAAAGTTGTAATGAATGTTGCGTGAATGCTACACATCAGGCATGTACAATCTTAACTAAGATCAAATTTGTGCCAACAGGTAAAGATGTATTTTGCAAGTGGACTTGTTTTTTGTGGGTTTATTTTGTTTTTTTTTTCATCGTTTTACGCCAATTTTAACACATGTTTTTGGTCATATCAAAGTGGTTGACCAACAAAACAGGGGCTTTCCTGGATAACTAACCAGTAATTACCCATTTCTCTACAAGTGACCCACTATTAATCCCCCATTCATTCTAAATCAGACAAATAAACATTAGACTCAAGGTTCAATTGTCACAGCGAAATTAAGCTTTGCACACTGATCAAACCTGTGTCACCTGGATTACTAATGCGGTGCTATTCTCAATGAGCTATGTGTTGTTAATAAAAAGATACATGTGTTCTTTATTAGATAAAAAGATAATTTTCTTATATAAATCATTAAAATAATGCAAAATGTTTATGCCCTCTACCCTCAAATCATGTGTAAAGATTTCAGATTTCAGTTTAAAACATATTTTCACATAATATTATGAACATAGATGTTGACAACAATACCGTACCCTTTGAGGGGCCTCCTGTTCAGTGACAAGCCACTCTAGGTCAGATGCTTTCGGCAGTTGTTTTTCTGTGAACTTTTTTAACAGTGATATAGCTACAGACTCGGCTGAAAAATATGTTCCGCTTTCCTGCATGGAGTTCTCACGTCCTATGACAGCTTTCATGTTCTTCTTGATGTCAGCTTCTAAAAAAAGAACAAAATCTTTAATTAGAAACAACCTATGAATAGAGTATGTTACACTGTACAAACATAGATCTCATCTGTTTTTAAACAGAATGTATTTATAGAATTATGGTAAACTCTTAATCAACCAAATGATGTGCAAATTTACTTCCTTGGCTTAAAATTTAGAACCCTCCATTTCTACCATTCAGTATATCACTGGACAGTGTGTGGTAAAATTTAACTGGTAGCAAACTCTTGTCTTGCTTTACTAGATTTAACAACTTTTTACACCTTCATTTGCTCCAGGTATTAAGATTTTAGGAATGTGTCACATTTCAGAACTGTTCACAATTTGTGGGAGAAGATATGTAAGTGGCTGGAGAGCTCTGTCGGAAGAGTAGCAGAATGATGTTCTGAGGGTCCCAGGTCCAAATCCCAGTCAGACTGTACATTTTATCTCACTCTCTGACAAGACATGTTAAAATAAATATTAGCCTTTAATTTTCAAACTGAAAAGTAAGTCTAAACATATTGTTTGGTTTTTATGCCAATTTTAACAGTTTTGGTCATCTTTTGACCAACCAGTGCTAACCAATTTCTCATAGACTATTAATACAACGTGATTTTTGAATCAGCTGTTATGGAAAAATGACCATTAGACAAAATGTTCCAGAAATTTCACCTCACCGAAGGATCAATCCAGTGACTCCTTGATTACAAATTTGCTTTAAATATTGACCTAAGTGGGGGACCTGCTAAACTTATTGAAGTTTTATTAAACTCTTGGAGCCTAAATGGTGCTAAATAAAGGTTTATACAACTAATGTTCAGCCAGTGAAGTCATATGACCTGCTCATACAAATACCTCCTCAACTAGATGAATGACAGTAACTTACCTGAATACAAAGAGGCCATTGACAGAGATAGTCCACTGTTCTTTAATGTTGTCAAATTGTTATGTGTATCATCCACTAAAATACAACAAAATTAACATAAAATAAACAAATAACATCAACTCTGAATGTTTTCCTTTCAAAGTACATGTACTATATAAGTTTCAACTTAATAAAAAAATTTCAGACTTTATTAACTATTTATATTCTATTTTCACAAGTTTTGTTTTTTTACAATATCTTTGATCCTCTGCTGGACTTCAGACCTAAATCTGCTGTAATTCCATCTTACTATGAAATAATAATTCTCATTTCAGTAGTACACATATAAATTTATAAGAACTCTGATACTTTTGCATTGCTTATTATCCCAAACATCACTGTAAGGAATTCAGATATGAACATATTTAATTTATAATCACAAATTCACAATTTAACATGAATTACAACCAGTAAATACATACTTGACAATTCTATCTGTCTGTCATCAACTCCACTAGAAGTATCACTATCTGTAAGACAAGTAACATATATACATGTAAATGTTTATTGTGTGTGATTATACATTGTTTTTTAGTTTTTTCTTAATTATGATCAATTTTCACTAATAAAAACTAAAAGAATGAAAATAAAATAAATGCACCTCTCTCAAGTGACTATGTAGTGCAAGTTACCTTTTTTTCCCCACTATTTCAGTGCGAGTGCAGAAAATTGTACCCATCTCATTGATGGGCTGAAATTTTCAGCAAAAGTGAAATATGTAAATTTTCACTTTTATTCTAGGGTCCATTTATTGCTATATATGTACAATAAATACAAAATTTAGTCCTTTTAAGAAAATAAACAATTTAATAGTTTAAAGTGAACACTTTTTAAAGTGTCTGAGAAAATGGGCCTTTAACAAAAAGGTTAACCAACACCCATGCCAAACACCAAACTCTTACAAGAGTCATGACAATAACTTTATTTCTGTGGAAAAAAAAGCTACAATGGAATTTCATTTCTGCAAAATGTTTTCTTGAAGATGGTACCCTAATAATATATTTTTGTACATATATGATATGATATTTTTGTACAAACTATTAATGATCAAGGAAAATGTTATTTCCACTGATTTTATCAGTCAGGCATGCCTATGATTCAAACTATGGTCACAGAAGAAGTTGTAATACCTATGGTTAACAAGCTAATTCTAGTGCTACAAAGTATTTGTTAATGATGGTTAAAATTTCAAATGTAAATGTTAAATTACACAAATCTACACATAGAGGGTATTATATATTGTAAGGTAATGAATTATAATGTAAAATATGGCATTATTTATACATATAACTCCATTTAGCTAAAAAAAAATGCAAGGCAATTTAATCAACTAGTAAGCACTATTCAAGTCATACAGTTAACACCTTGCATGACAAAGAAAGACCATGGAATGATGTATCATATCTTATCAAAGATTTATATCTGTACAGAGCCACCAATCTTCTATAACAAGCTCTGTAGCTTCCAAGCATTAATTCAAAATTTCTTTAAAATTTGAATCTTTAGCAGCGAAAGACAAATGACTAAATACTATAACATATATGTTAGCAGCCTTAATCAACTGCCCATTAACACAACTTATCACCCAATTAAGGCTGGTTCTCATGTTTGAAGACGTGGTCTTATGTTTTTTTGGAGGCGTGGTCTTATGTTTAGAGGTGTGGTATTATGTTTCAAAGGTGTGATCTTTAATGAAGAAAACCATAAAGATGTACAAAGGGACATAGAAGCTGTTTTACACAGATAAAGGTATGGTTTTGCACAGATGTATAGAAAGAAAAAGACGAAGGGTAAACATTATTATTCATTGGGCACTAATTTTCATGGTTTACGTGGATAGGTCAATCTAAAAATTTAAGATCCAGCAAAATTTCATTTTCGTCTGCTGTAAGATTATTTTGCATTACATTATTTACATAATTATTACCTTTTAAAAAAAACAAACAAACAAAAAATGTCCACAAATTTAAGAACCAATGTTCTTTGTGACAAAACCACGAAATTTCATGCCCACAAAATTTAGTCAATTTAAAAGTAAATTTCATGCAAAAACAATGAAATACCCAAAACCCGAATAATCACTTCTTGTGTTTAACTGAAAAAGGGGGACTCAGAAACCCGCTTTTGACTCGTGGGAGCGGGGTTTGGGTAAACTCAAAGAACAAAAAGGCATGAAAAAAAAAGGTTTATGAAACAAAGGTCATATTTAAACCCGTAAATTTTCCCATGTAGTACACAAAAAATTTGCAAAATAAATTATTGTTGAAGAAATAAAAATATGACAAGTGACAATAAGAAACAAGAAATTTCAAAATTAAAGTGTACACAATCAAATAAATCATGAGTGGTCCTATAAAAATATTCTATAAAATAATAAAGGCATACAAAAGACAGTACATTTAATAAGGTTTTTTTTATGAATTTTTGAATGTTGACAGAATTATTTTGGTAATAAATACTGCATCACAATTACTATTATAGATTCTACTAGGGAAGCAAATTATAGAAATATTATTGACTGTATTCACTTCTGAAAAAAAAAGTACAAAAAAACAACAATTTTTTACAATCATTTTGTTCTTTAAATATCAAGCACTGCAGAAAGTACAATGTATTTTTAAGTATCAGACTAAAAACCATTCTAATTTATTGTAGAAATAATTTTTCAAAAGGTACAGAAAAAAAGATATTTTTTTTGCACAGAGGACGGGGCCCAATGATGGCTAAAAAGTGGCAGGAAATAAATCCAAATAAACAATCAATGAATATTCAGACAGTACAAAAGTGTTTTACAACTACACATATAATACAGCACAAGCTATACAGGTATTTACTTAACTATATAGTTTATGATACTTGATAGAAAAGAAAAACATGTAAGCTGCAGGTAATACAACAAAACTATAGCAAGTTTTACAATAATACAATGACAACAAAAATATTCATAAAAAGAACTTACTGTCAGTTCTCCCATCACTAAATGCTGGAAATCCACGCGCTTTCTGGAAAAAAGTTTTGTTTTTTTTAAATTCGAATTATGATTAACATGAATGTATAGTTTTTACATTACACATACTTCAAATGTAAATTTTTCTGTTTCTGGGAGAACTATACACTTCAATTTCCCTGAGTTGTGTTGAAGCCACATTAACATTGTAAGAAAAACAATGATAAACAAAGATGCAAGAAGCCCTTTTGTTTATTATTAAATCTGACATGTTATAAAGCAGGCACCAAGTTGAACCACATATTAACTGAGTTTAAGAAAGCTGGCTGGATAGATGCTACATATGCATTACTTTCATATATGAACTGTCATCAAAACCACTTAGCCAAGATTATTCATGCTATAAAATAACAGTTTGTAGTATATAAAATTGAACAATGTGAGAAGTTAACCTCTTTAAGTTTTTCACGTTTACATATACACAGAGTATTAAATTGTACCATTTGAGATGTTTACCTCTTTAAGTTTGTCACATTAAGTATCAATAGAGTATAATACTATTAAATTGCACAATTTGAAAAGTTTACCTCTTTAAGTTTTTCACGTTTACGTATGCGTATTCGTTGTTGTAGCTGTTTAATCTCCTCATCACTCTCCTCCTCATCCGGTTCCTCCATATGTGCGTCCGTATGCGGACTTATTATATGATTCCATTTCATCTGCTCTATTGCAGCAATCAACGCCTCGGATATACTGAAGTGGGCATTCTCCTATGTATAGATTAGATTAATTATAACATGAGATATGCCATTTATGAAAGACTGAAAATATATTGAAAGTACTTTTATATCATAAAAAAAACAATTTGTTTTTTGTGCCAAAAAAAATTGCCTTTTGTCACTTCAATATTGATCTAAATGACCTAAATAATCCCACAAATACTGTTAAAGACATAAAAAAACTAGTTCCATTAAACCTTTAACCTGCAGGAACTGAAAGTGATTAGCCTACGCCAACATTGTAGGGCCCGGCCAGCCTGACCAGATTCTACAATGTTGGCTGACTTACTTTTTCATCTTCATAACCCAAAAATTGCTTAAAAAAATGCAGTAAAAAAAACTCTGGACAATTCCATATAAGAAATTTAGCAGAGTAAGGGTTACAACTAACACAGCTTTATTATACATTATCACTTGAACATGTTATGTCAAACACTTTTCCAAAGAAAAAACGTTATTTTTTATTTTTACTAGGCGGCATTCATCAGTACATGTACATTATTAAGTCTACAATCAGCTTTAAAACAACAGCAACACATAGTGTCAGAATGAACAGACTTGCAGATTGACCTGGCTCTGTACTGGCTGCAAAGGTATCTTGGGCAAGCCATTATCTTCAAAGTTAAGGTAGTCTTACTGTAATGCTTCCCGCCAAAAAAATCTAACATCAGCCAATAACATAGCAAATCGGTTATTTCTGAAATGTTATTTTCAAAATCTTGGGCATTAGATTTCTTACAATCACTCATCCTTTATCACTTTGTATTATATTCCGGTTATAAATGGATAAAAACCATTGAATACCTAAGATCGTGAAAAATAACATTCCAGTATTGACTGATTTGTTAGGATATCTGCTTATGTTAGAAATTTTTTGGTGGGAAAGCATTACAGTAAGACACCTGAATGAAAATTTTAAGTTTTTTTTTAAATAATATAGTTTACCTTTTCTAGGTTGGCACATGTGTGAAAGTCATGAGAAGAGAGGTAGTGTAGTAATGACTGTCCTTGCTGGGGTTGAGGAAAATAACCACTTTGAACACCTTCTACATCATCTAAAATATTGAAAATAAAAATTTCATATTTCAATTCATAACAAGCTATAATAACATAGTAAACCTTCTGACTTTTTTCCTTGGCTTATAACACAAAGAAAACCGCAAGTACACAGACAATATATGCGCTCTGTCAAAAAGTCAGGAGTTCACATGTATATCAGTAAAAAACCAAATGCATATACAGCGTTGTTCAAAAATTATTATGATTAAAATGATTATTTTTTATAAAATTAAAATATATCAACCCTTTCCACACTTCCCAGTACATTTATTTAAATGGACTGTTCCATATTTCAATCTGGACATAATTCATTATTTTTAGGGAAATTTTCAAAATACATGTGTGCATTAACTGAATATAAAACAGTGCAGACCATGACCAGACTGGTTGCATGGTCTGGCCATGCCAGCTACTCTTGGTCTGCACTGGTCGCTAGAATGGACTGAATGATTGACAATTAACCAGTCAGGCCAACATGTATGACTTTCATGACCATATCTTTACACATCATTTTTAACTTAAACCATGCATGCAACATTATTTCATATCAATAAAAGTAACATCTTTTTCCAATTTAACTACATATAAACTGCCAGGCTTGAACAGAATAACAGTAACCATTTCTGCCAATAAATCAATGTAAAACTGCATCAATTTGCACATGTTTGAAGAAGCCATATTCCTAAACTACCATGTATGGGTGGATAAAATTATTGTATCATGTTAGAATTAGGCAACAATGATGCTATCATGGTCATATGGCAACTTTCCACTTTTACTGATGGTTATGTTATTCTTCTTTTGCTAACTGAATACCTAACATGAAATAATGATCTGTGTCCTTTTAAGGAAAAGACTTAACAAATAAACAAGAGCGATCAGTGATCACATGTGTTGCCTTATGATGGCCAATTTCATGTTGGGACAAGTTTTGTAACAGACGGACAGACAGACGGACAGTGCACAACTAGACTTGGTACTGATCATTCCTGTAAAGTTTGGATAAAATTGCACCAATAGTTTATGAGGAGTAGTCCGGACAAGCTCTTGTGTATTTGGCAACACACAGAAAAAAAACACCTTTTTATTAAAGGGCCATAACTCGGCCAAAAATCATTCAACCGGAAAACCCGTGCAATATGCGCAAGGACTTGATCTACAGATCAATCTTGTAAAGTTTCATTGAAAATGCATTAGTGGTATAAGAGAAATAGTCTGGACAAACTTTAAAAATAAAAATTATTAAAGTGCCATAACTCTTACAACAAGAGCGATCAGTAATCACATGTGTCGCCTCATGATGGCCAATTTCATGTTGGGACAAATTTTGTGACAGACGGACAGTGCACAACTAGACTTGGTACTGATCATTCCTGTAAAGTTTGGATAAAATTGCACCAGTAGTTTATGAGGAGTAGTCCGGACAAGCTTTTGTGTATCTGGCAACACACAGAAAAAAACACCTTTTTATCAAAGGGCCATAACTCGGCCAAAAATCATTCAACCAGAAAACCTGTGCAATATGCGCAAGGACTTGAGCTACAGATCAATCCTGTAAAGTTTCATTGAAATTGCATTAGTGGTATAAGAGAAGTAGTTCGGACAAACTTTAAAAATAAAAATTATTAAAGGGCCATAACTCTGACAAAAATTGAACCGGAAAATGCTGACAATATGCATAACAAGACTTGGTACTGATCATTCCTGTAAAGTTTGGATGAAATTGCACTAGTAGTTTATGAGGAGTAGTCCGGACAAGCTTTTGTGTATCTGGCAACATACAGAAAAAAACACCTTTTTATCAAAGGGCCATAACTCGGCCAAAAATCATTCAACCAGAAAACCTGTGCAATATGCGCAAGGACTTGAGCTACAGATCAATCCTGTAAATTTTCATTGAAAATGCATTAGTGGTATAAGAGAAATAGTCTGGACAAACTTTAAAAATAAAAATTATTAAAGGGCCATAACTCTTACAACAAGAGCGATCAGTAATCACATGTGTCGCCTCATGATGGCCAATTTCATGTTGGGACAAATTTTTGTGACAGACTGACAGAGACACACCGACAGTGCACAACTAGACTTGGTACTGATCATTCCTGTAAAGTTTGGATAAAATTGCACCAGTAGTTTATGAGGAGTAGTCCGGACAAGCTTTTGTGTGTATCTGGCAACACACAGAAAAAAACACCTTTTTATCAAAGGGCCATAACTCGGCCAAAAATCATTCAACCGAAAAAGAGGCGACACAAAAATCATTGAATTGGAAAATGCTGACAATATGCACAACTAGACTTGGTACTGATCATTCCTGTAAAGTTTGGATGAAATTGCACCAGTAGTTTATGAGGTGTAGTCCGGACAAGTTTTGTGATGGACGGACAGACAGACGGACGACAGAGAAGTGATCCCTATATGTCGCCACTACTCCGTAGAGGCGACATTCCATATCAGAAATTCAGCAGGTTAAGGGTTAAAGCTAATACTCCTACCTGTATTGGAAGTAGAGGCACTCTTGGCTACAGCATTACTGGACATGTTTGACCCACTTGCCATCTCCCCTTGAATCACATTTGTTTTAATGCCACTTATGTCAGACCTTGACCTTTTATGAGTATGCTTCAATTTTCTTTCTGTCAATTTCCTAGACTTTGTCTCCGTTTCCACACTTTCAGAATCTGAGAATATCACTCTAGAACCCTTCAAACTTTTCTTTTTCGCTGACAAATCAGAGGTCAAAGTCATTGAAGTAGTCAAGGTCATAGATTTATTTGCTGGAAAAACGTCATCTTCGTCCTCATGGATTATTTTATCCATCATTTCTGATGCCCGTCTTTCTGACGACCTTTTAATCACAGCCGTCTCTGACGTACTTCTGGTCAATGGTTTCTTTGGTTCAAATTTCGATTTAATATTCAGATTTTCCACACTCTTGCTAGGTGACCTTGACAATTCAAGAAGGTCAAGGTTCAGCAGAGGGTCACTGTTAATGCTAGTGTAAAGACTGAAATGGTTCTGTGAGGAAGACGGGGGAGACAAATCTGTGGTGGAATCTGATCCAGATTTTCTTAACACATTGCGTAATGATGCTGTTGCTGTCAATCTACCTTCCTCCGGACTTGTACTTGAACCTAAAATGTGAGAATTACTGTACAGTTCACAAGAAAATCAATTTGTGCAATAACACACAATATAGTTCATATTAATGTACTGTTCAAAACAAAATCAATGTGTATCATAACATACAATACATGTATAGTTGATTATAACACCTGGAAGATCTTAATAAAAACTAATCAGCATTTTTTGTCAAACCTATAATAAGGGAAAATATATTCCAAAATTTCATGACAAATGTCTGAAGATATAATTTTGTACATAATTTTTTCTCAAAACATTCAGTTATTCATGTCACAGTTAGTGATTTTATCACATACCCATACCTCTTTTGTGACTTTGTAAAAATGGTATTTCATGGCCGTGCATATATTTTGACGCATTTTATAAAGATAGCGTAAAAACCGGCTAAATGTTACCATTACACTATTAGTAAGTTAATGAAATAGTTATTCTTTTAACCCTAAACAGCTCTTTTTTTGGATAGGCAATAAATAGAATTTAGAGGAAAGTAGTGCGTCAAATCAACTGTGAAAATATGGAAAATATGTTTCACAGCAGTGAAAAACAAAATTTTCACTGTGACAATTCTGAAAATGAAACTATGTAATAAATTTTATCAATATTTCTTAATATTTTATTCATGAGTACGTATATATTATAATAAACATTAGTACCATATTCAGATTTTACATGCATGTAAATATATATACATTCATATGTTTAACTCAGTAAAATTGTGGTCCATTAAATTAATTCTTAGAAACATTAGATATATTCATGCCATGTCCAATTAATTAATGTCATATTATATAAATCCATGCCTTAATAAAAACATTTATGTATTTTTTTAAGTCACACTGTCATCCTAATGACCTTATGGCAACTTTCCAGCTTTACAGATATCACTCTATGCAATTTTTCAGGCAAAAGTGGGCACTTTAGTAGAACCGTTAACATTCTGAAAGCTAGCTGAATAACTAACTCACGTGAAAGAATTCAAAGTCCTTGGAAGAATTCTAACCTATAGGCTATAGCAGTAAAAGGCCAAGTGGTTTGAAGTACACTTCCTTAACAGAATACACTTTATTGTGTGTCACATATAGAGCTGTCATTGATTCACAGCAAAGCATATTTACAGTACATCTATATTTGATGACAAATATCAGCGATATATCGATTTATACTCCTAATTTCTTGTATATATTTCACTTTCATACATGTTTAAATGATTTTAGTAAAATATATGTTCTGTTCATACAAATATGTTGTGTCCTGTTTATATTATAAATGTCCTTTGCATATTCTTTTTCTAACTATTTTTTGTCATCACTGCTATGAAATGTGTCCATTATGTAACAACAGCGTAGTGTTAGACATTATAAGCCACCTGCTTTTGTATATGTTTTTGGTGAATTTTCATAATTTATAGACATTAATTAAAACAATCAATCAAAATAATCGATTTTTTCAAATGTGTATTGATTATTAATCGACAGAAAAATATCAAGGGTACATCAATATTGCCCCAACAGCTCTAGTCACATATTGTAAGATATATTCAGTCATTCATCTCACATCAAAAACAAATCATGTGATATAAAATATACAGTGTTGCATCTAGGCTGGCGATTTGCGCATATTATTTGCAGATCACGCATTTTAATGAAGTCAATGCGTGCCAAGTCGCGCATCTGACGATCTTTCTTATCTTCAACGTATCTTGATCAATCTGGTTGAACGCATCAGCCATGTTTGTTTTTTTACTCGCGGTTATGACTAAAATACATACAAAATCGCTTGCAGCAGCCGACTTGGTCATCTCGCGTGTGTATTGTAGTATTAGTCACTATTTAATTTTATTATTTCCGTTGTTGAGCGTACGTTAGCTGTTAAAAATGCCTAAATGTAAGATAAATGAATTCTTTTCGGTATGTCATATTGTTAGGTAAATGCATGTTACCCACATTTTTTTCAAATCCCCCACATTTTTCAGTTGAGTCGGGGACAATCTGCCATAATTTTGAAATTCTAGATGCAACACTGAATTTAACAAAGCTCTGTAATACAATAAGTAAAGCATTAACTGCCAACATGCTTGTGTTAATTAAGGCCAGCCTTCTTACCAATACTACAAGCCACAGCATGCTCATCAGATGTGCACAGTTCACTTTCCTTACTTTGTGGGGAGGAGAAAGGCGGAGCTAAAGCCATGATGTCACTGTTGAAAGACTTGTGATGCCTGCTTTGGCGTGATGGGCGTGTTGTTACTAAGGCGTTCATTGGCAAAGATGCACTTCTTATAAAACTTGGTCCAGCCTTAGACAGGCTTGGGTTAAAGTGTAGCTGAAAATTACAAACAAACTTTACAGTAAGTTTACTCTGAGTAAATGAAATGCATGTTGTTGTTATTTATCATTTTGATACCTATTTCTCATAAAAAAACAGCTTGTGACAATGTTTATTTCAAGTTGGTCCAGGACTTTTTTGCAGAGTGGCTGACCAAACATCCAACATAGTATATCAAATCAAATACGTGTTAAGTTTCAATTCTGATTTTTATGTAAAATGAAAATGAGTACCATGACAAATTTGTATTATACATCACAAACATACCTTAGATTTCCATGACATACATGTAAGACTTACATGTTACCCACTTTTCTACAAATGCCTCCATGTCACCGCAAAATTCCATGAACAATAAACAGCTTCATAACTGTCAGTAAGGTACATGTATGAACTACAATATTGAAAAGGTTTAAAATTTAAACACATACCAATTTAGCATCAATATCAGCTAATAAGGACACTCTGTTCTCTTCTACTGCTTGGAGGCATATACACATTGCATTGAAGTACTTGGTGTTGAACAAAAATGAATCCTCTACAAGATTAATAATATAAACTTTTAAAAGCAAGCACAAAGCAATGCACAATTGAAAAGAATTGGCATATGTTGAAGAATACTCAAATAAATTCATACCAGTGGTAAAATCTGATACATGTATATATAATGTCTATTTATAAACATGATAAAACTCGAAACATCGAAAAAGAAAAATGTTATTTAAAACTGTACACGCTCTTCCTATTTTATTTCGTAACATTTCAAGGAATACTTGGGTTTGATGGTAAGTGCAATACTTTTATCGAATAGAATCTTGATTTAATTAGAGACTATGAATTCATATTTAGAATGCTAAAAATAATACAGAAATGAATATTTTAAATGTTTAATAGACTAAAATTAATTGTATATGCTAAAAATATTTACGTAGAAAAAAAAAAAGAACTTCCATAAAACATGCAAACCACATGAGATAAATATTAGTCTGAAGAATTTTCAAATGTTAACAATTGATATTGGCAGTTAACTCAAACATAACATTAAATTTATATTTGTAAAATGAATATTATAATATGAATATTTTTTAGTATGAAATTTTGCCAATATTATATTAAATTATAATAATTATCTTTTTTAAATATGAAAAAAAGAACAGTTACGCACCAAAGTAGTGTCTATGTAAGTGTGATTCGCTTGTTACCAGAATCTTGAGCTGACTGACCAATTTGTGCTCCCTAAGGCTCTCCTTGACCCACACTTGACCTTTACTGACACCTTTAGGGTGAGACCCCTTTCGTATTTTCTCTATAAATGGTGTCATTACAGGATTCAGCCATTTTAATCCCTTTACAAACGGCCAAAAATCAATCACACTCCCTGAATCACTCTGAAATAAAATCATTGAAATATTTAATTGTACATAAAACATAATTAAATTGCCGCAATTCCTCCCTGAATTGATTCCATTAGTGCTTTTCAAGTCGCATGGCTCCAGATTCATGCTCATTTTCATGAAAATTTTGAAAATGTATTTAAAAGTACAGTATAGTGAAGAGAACAAAGATATTGATTTACACATTGCAAACAATGCTTACAATTCAAGTAAATTACCAAAAAGAGGTCAAAATATACAAAAATACCCTTTACTGCGTTAGTAACGCATAAGAATTATATTGATTGATATTGCAAAATCGGTCATTAATCATACATACATGTAATATGTAAATTATTACTGGAAATTTTGGCATCATGAATCTTTTTACTTTTCTTAAAACCTTAGTCAATTTTCTCAAGTTTAATTATCTTGAAATATTTGGCTAAATATCTGGAGGCTTGCAACTTTAAGATCATTATAACAATATAATTTGATATGAGTGATATAAGAGCAGTAATAGCAAGAATGTGTCAGTTGTATGAATAATTTTTAACAGTCATAACTCAGTTCACTTAATTAATTCAGTTTATCTTAGAACATTATAAATGATTATGTGTCAGTGACATCTATAGGTGATACAAGAGCAGATTTATATAACAACATAACAAGTAAGATAGAAATAAGTTTATCTTCATCTCTTGAATCAGTTCTCATTTAAATTAAATTAAATGAAACTTTCTTTCTTTAACATTACTTGACAATTGTCTGGAAAAGGGTATCTGTAAAGAATAGAAGCATGCATACATGCACATCAAGAAATGCTCACACTGGAGTGGCTATGATATTTTTTTGAATCAATTTCAGAATGACATTTTCAATCACCTTACACTGTTACATAAAGCTATAATTCATAGCCATAATAAAGCTGTTGGAAAAAACATTTTGAACATGGTTAACATGTCAGATAACACTCATAACAGTGCAAAGTGAACACTTTTCAAAATTTGAAATATGCACATTGTGCACAAAAATAAAACAGATTGAACTCACCACTACAAATTTAAGCCGATGATTAAGTATTCTATCAACATTTTTACATAATCTCCCCAGTCCACCATATGTACTCCATACATCATTTGTGTTTGTTGCTAGCAGACCTTCTACAGTTGTTTTCAGACCAACTAGTAATTGGTGCTTCAATTTTAAGCTGAAACCATCAATGGAAATTGATTTGAGTTATGTTCACAAAAATTTTTCTCTCCTGTAAATTTTAGTCCAGAGCCTTGACACTCAACTTATCAGTAATCAGATAATTCTGCCCCTAACCAGTTCTTTCCCCTGAAAGTTTTCCCTCAAACTGTTTCTCATCCCACAACAGTTTTCCCCCCAAATTTCAAATATGCTGACAGTTTTTTTTTAAATTCATATTAATTCTTTTAATATTGGTAAAGGGTCAACTCAGCCTTAAACCAGCCTGGCACATGTTAATCTAGCATTTATACAATACATGGCTATAGTCTACACGTGTATATTTCAAAGGGAATCAGATAAAAAAACAATTACGTGAATATATAGATTTCTATACCTATCAGTGAAATTTTCAGTGACTGTCATGTCTAGTTGGGCACCGCCTTTTTCAATGTAACTCAATGATAATAGGCCAAGTATTCCTATAACCATGGAGCTAAATATAAGATGGAGAAGAGACTGACATCACACAGTTAAAATCAGTATAGGCGGAATTATGTTCTTATATGGTGCGAGATTTGCGAGATTTGATGCATCCTGGGTAAAAGTAGCCAAAATACCGCCATATTGAATTCCCGGAGGTACATCAACAAAAAAGACTAAACATTTTTTACTTAAATAAGAGGCAATAGTTATTTATTTTAAAATGTACAAAACACACTTTTCCACACAAATATTTCTCCGATGAAAATACATGTCGGCAATGTAAGCCATAATTAACGGATATCGCCGAAGTTTAACGATAGGAGACACGCAAGGGATTGTGTAGCCTAATTAATTTGGCGTGAACGGTTTGACCCATTTTACAGACTTTTTTTTTCTTACTGTCAAACCGTTACGCCTAATTTTAACTGTCATTTTTACGCACGGAAAATCTACCGGCAACACTATCGATAGTTTGGACTGATTTTTACTGCTTAAACCTGAAAGTAACTTCAATGTCCTCTAAAAATCAATAGAATATAAATTCTAGTACTAACTTCTCCTAGAAAAGATATTAGATTGTACCTGTCTTAACGCATACATGCGATTTATTTCAAATTTGTACTGTATACACTATCTCCGGCGGACATGTTATGACGGCAATCCGGTCAACTCGTCCCCTGGTCAACTCGTCCTCTGGTCAACTCGTCACCTTTTTGGTCAACTCGTCCCCTACTTTTGGTCAACTCGTCCTCAAAGAGTCAACTCGTCCCTAATATGGTCAACTCGTCCCCTACTTTCGATCTATTCGTCACTATTATGTTGTAAACCAATGTCTTTAAATAGTTCTTTTTATGTAGAATTAATAATGAATTTGATTGAAAAATCGATTCCGTGAAAGCTGGTAGTAGCAACCAGTGTGTCTAGCAGGTAAGTGTTGGTTACGCATGAAGATTAAACTTCAAAAAAAAATATCAGCGAAATAAATCTATTCATTATTTTTAAATAAATTTGTGCATTATTAAATACTATTGAAAAGTATCAATGTGTTAAACCTAAAATACAATGGTAGCAAATAGGCTCCGTACAAGTTTTGTTGTTTAATATTTTTTAAATGTTTTAATACATGTACTCAACATTTATCAATAGATGGTTTGCCTTCTTGTTTACTGCTAATGACTGCCGATAAAATACTGACTTCATTTATACATGCATATTTAAATGACAATTAAGAATGTAAAAGAAATAAAGGAATTCTTTTTCACCTATTGCTGATATATATTATAATACCATATTAAACCTACTGATAAATTTAAATGTCTTCTTGACATACTTTATTAATTTACTAAAAAAGGAACTTTATTGTGATCCAGCCATATGCTGTGTAACTATAAGGGAAGGGTCACATATTTTAATTGAAATAAATTTTAAGTAGGATATTAAAAAAAAGTCATTGAGAAGATAAGAATTTTCAAATGAACAGATTAAGAGACTTATACATGTATAAGGTGTATGTCTTGTTGTTTCATACTGTTTTGGTGACACTTTTGTTTGTGTCCCTTGTTGTTTTCTCGTCTATGGTAAGTATCTTCCCTTTGCCCCTAGTTTTATTTCTTTATTCCGCCCCCTCCCCCTTCCCCGAATTTCCTATCCCCTACCACTGTGCCAGTTTACTTAATGGTCCTATTAATCATTCATTTATTTTCTTTGATTTTGATTTCCTTGTATGTTACCATTATTTCTTTATATTTATCATTTTGTATCATTTTAGTGATAAGCCAGACCGTGCTCTCTCTTGCGCCGTCCTGTCTTTGTTTAGGATCCTCCTGGGTTCCTTGCAAATGGTTCTTGTTCCTGGGTCGTGCGGGGGTTGCGTTCATTGAACGCGGCCTTTCCTTGTTCATCTTGTTTATCATATTTTATACTTGTATACCGAACCGAACCATAACAAACAGATAATGATTATCAATACAAGGTTCGACAAGCAAGCAAAGAAATGTAAAGAAAACAGAAAAAAACTTATCCACATATCCGCCCTCCAAAAAAAACACCAAAAAAACGCCTGAAACTGCAAAACCGAAACATAAATACACATGGGTGCCAAAGACGGCTCTGGTAGGTACATGTGCTCCCTTGCGCCAGTTTCAACAGAATTCATCACTTAAACATAATATTAATAATGTAGAAATTTTAATCAACACCCACAGATGTGTACAAAATACGGCGGTAATCATGGAACTTTCAATGCAACACATTCGAGGTGCCGTTCAATGAAAAGCGGGAACTAGATAATATGGAATTTTAAATGGATATAGGTTTTGGTGTCATTTTGCGACAGTCGTTCTAAAAGATGACTACAGTAATCTAATCAGACTATTTCTCCCATCTGTCTTACATTGTTATGCTATTCTACGTCTTAAATAAGGGTCACTAAATTTCCGCTTGCTGCGTTTTTATCATAAACCCCGTCATATCTGTTCGACAAATGCATTTTACTGAGGACTGTCTGAAATTCCATTTTATAGTTTGAAATTTTAAGATTTTTTTCTCAGAATTTAAAGTTATATTTGGTTGTTTTGAACTTCTTCCCCTACACAACTGTCCTCAATTTTTTTAAAGATAATAAACTAGAAATTGATAGGGAGTTTAATATAAATTGAAATTCTTCTTTGCTTCATCATATGTATAGTCTACTTATAATTCATTAAGATGTACCTACAGTTACATTGTATTTTCATATGTGCGAAATCATGGCAGGGTTATAAAAAAAAAGGCAGTTCAGAAATTTCACCTAATGATCACAGATGTTAAAAAATCCGACATTACAATTTCTAATTTGACAATTTAAATGGACTTTTAAAATGCAGTATGATCTGACGTCGGACATCTAAGTAAGGTTATCAGAATATCCTTTTCACATTTTATTTTTAATGCTGAAATATTCTTGTGTGAAAAAAAAAGTTATTCCTGCATAATTCATAATAAATAACTTAAACAAATTATATTATAAAGCTTGACAAACACAATCGATTGCCGCCGATACCTGAGTTACACCATGGAAATTTTACAATTTTACCCTGTTTTACCCTGTCACCGCTTGCATCATTTTCCAATATGGCCGCTTACAATAATTTTCAACGATTTAAAAAGTTAAAGTGGAATATTTAGACTTGTGTTCGACTTTAAAGTATGATAACTTGGAACCTTGCATTAAAAAACGGTTCTCTTTCAGGTAATGTAGACCGTTTCTTTGAAACTTTTTTAGTTTTCGCTCCCAACAACTTCTAATTGGGAAGCGTCCGTGCATAAAAATGCAGTTCGTGGTTGGACTTGGAAAAAGACAGCGCCCGTCCAAAATTATCTCGGTGTCTCTTTGACAAGTCTAATTAGTTGGACTAGGGATTGTGGGTCTGAATCGGACTCTCGTCTATTTTCAGAGTTTCCTATCCGTTGTTTATATATCTGTGCTATTATGTTACATTCGCAACTTTTTGGCTTAATAAAAATCATTAAGGTGTTCTAAGTGAAAACGGAAGCGGTGCATGAAATACCGTATATGCAACCAATTAATCTAAGTTAAAAATGAACGACTTCGCCATTCACAGGCTTTGCCTCATTTCATATTATATAATTATAGTATTGGCCCAGTTGACCCATGCCCTGTTGGTCGGGGCCCAGTTACTTTTAAGGCCGAGTTGACCCGGATTCCATGTCATTTAGAATGTACTAAAATGAATGAGCCATGGACTGAAAAGAAATGCAATCTTACAAAAATTAAAGAATATTTGACATCTATATCATCATACCTATTACTTAAAATTAAGGTGGATATCTCAAGCCTCTGTGTCCACTCATTTCAACAAAGTCATGTAGATTCTATTCATAAAACTCTGCTTTACGTGTATTTTTGCTTTGAACTGTTGATTTTGAAACGATAAAATTTAAGAATTGGCAAGATTTGTAACATTTATTGATAAATATGTACTATGACATCTTAAATAATGTCGTTTCTGAAAGGTTTTGTCTGTGACTACCTGTAAAAATTTCAATATAAAAGCTGTTTACATCATAAAATCTCATTTTCTAACCTTTGAACATCCTCCTCTTCGTCTGGGTCGGCCATTTTGTTTTAAATTGAGGTTGAACACCACTAAATACCATTCACAGACTTTGGCCTTTAGCACTAAATTTAGTTATATACTCTTATGAATATTCTTTTATTATATTATTTTTCTTTATTCTTATAAAGAATATTCTTTATATATAGTATTAAAAGCATATATAGGCAAATTGATTGCGTCTAGTGCCTGTGAATAGACCGTTCTTTTGCCATCATTAATGATTTAAGTATCAAACGATCAAAAAATAGAAAAAAAAATTGTAGGAACTACATTGTAGGATGACATTTACTGTATAATTGAATGTGTAGTTTAGACTTGAGTTAATTTCATTTTAAATATATAAATACCATATGTCACTATATTTTGTTTTAAATTTTTATATCTTATGTAAATTTTTGTAGATTCTTCTTAAATCTTTCTACCTTTTTTCACGCCTAAGCTACATGTACAACTAGCACTTTAAAATGTAGGCTATATTACTTTTCAGATTTGTAATATGTTAGTAAATTTGTCTCTGTTAATGTCTGTAAATCGCTAATTAGCTAATATAAGTGGTAACCGACTTAAAATAAAGCTTCTTATAATAATTAAGTGGCACAACTTCCTATAAATATAATTAAGCCGTGTAGGCCGCGGCCTAGAATATTTTCAAAGAAAGTGATCAAATAAATATAATTTGTTTATTTCCCAAAATTCTAATAATCCCCTAAACCACGGCTGTATATATTTGTTGTAAAAAAAATACATGAAAAATGGATTGTGGTGGTCGAAACAGGAACTTATAGGATGTCAAATCCGCGGACTGTGGATTAGGAGTAGGGAGCTCTACAATCTCTACATTCACACTGTACAAATAAAATCAAAATGTCTCTACATGCTACCTAGGACATAATATATCATGTCCCGGATGATGCATTGTCTCACAAATGTCACAGGACGGCTTTACAGGATTGCAATAAAGTTGTAGTTACATGAACATTTTGCAATTAATTCGTTAAAAATGTCACATTTAGCTTGTTAAAAAAAAAAATTCTGTATCTTCTGCGAAGATGTGCATGCGTTGTTTATTTTGGTTATCAAGTTTTATTCTTTATACAGATGTGAAGTACATGTATGCTATAATTTAGTGGCTCATCCACATTTCATTTCACTGTGTATTAGTCATACATTGCACTGCATAATAATATTCCTCTGACAATATAGACCTCTATGCTTATTGACGTTCTTGTCGCAAAGCCGAGAACTTCAAGAACACTTGTAAGGTAAGTAGCAGAGAAAACAAACTATATAATTATGTACCCGTGCCTATCTTGACACACGGGAATACTTACAATCCAGGTACCATGAATGCACGTGCGTACAAATGTTCGGTTAGACATATTGACCTAATATTAAAGCTAGCTAGTTTTCCAGTGAATTCATTAGGTCTTAAGTTATATATACTTTTTAACCCTTTATACATTAGCATTAAAGATAACGTAGATCTTGAATCTATAACAAAATATCCTAGGTTGTAAAATTGTATATACATCTGTCAGAAATTATTTGCATTGCTCGCTAAATATGGCATTGCAGTATATGCCTAATAATTAATCTAGTTTAGTAGTTTATTTTAGCACGATTGTAAAATTTAAAGAAAAAAAAAACACGATTGTATTTAATTTAAAAAAAAACCAACAAAAAAAAACCAAGTTTATGCAACTTATAATATAGGTATCTCTTTTCATCACGCCCCTTGAAACTTACGAGCAGTCACGCAATTTTTTATACAGTCATCCCATATTATCAATATATAAAGCTGTAATTAATGTAGTAGCTCTTTAATTAACGTACACCTCTGAAAAAAAAAAAGAAATGATAATAAATAGGTCCCTATTTTGAAATTCGAGTTTGTTTTCAACTTCTGTAATTCAACAAAAAAGAAAATTAGCGTTATTTATTATAGCGATTACCCCCTAACTAATGATCGTTTTATCTTTTGTCACTATTGAGACATGTCTGTTCCTATCCCTGTATTCACACAATTGTATAATACACATGACCTTAAAACTAAATAAATATTATTGTTTGGTTATTGTCTCCGTTTATCGCTGAATTTCAGACTATCTATTATGTTGAAAGATATTTATTCAACATGACACATGCTACATGGATATGCAAATGTATAAAGAAGACTTCGTTTAGGCAAATCGATCGGTCTTTGTGATTACAAACAACGACACACTAACGTAAACGTAAAGCCGTTTGCGTCTGTTCCTACAATGATAATTTTGTCGACTCATATGCATGAAAATGCTATGAATATACGCCTAACCAGGATCTTTCAAATTTGAAAGATCCTTGCCTAACGCACTATTTTCGTTTAAAATACAACGTTTAATCTTAAAAGATCAAACCCCAGAAATCCTCTGACTTCTTGAACTGCATTTTTAGGCATGGAGAAGTGATATTGATCGGAGAAATAAGTACATTTTTATCACAAAATAAATAATGTATTTTTTTTAACTTTTGAAACATCACACCATTAAAAGCCCATTAGGTTTGATTGCCTCCAGATGAGCTAAAAGTCAAACTTGAGAATAATGTACTAAGATTTTAAGAAAAGTAAAACGATTTAAGATTCAAGTAATAATTTAATAACATACGAACATGTGGACTGATTTTGCAGTATTTATAACCATATTTAATTTCTAATGCGTGACTAACGAAGTAAAGGCTATTTTTGCATATCTTGATCTCGTTTTTTGGTGATCGAAAGTGGATTGAGACAAATAGATTGAAAGTGCCATTTGTAATATGTAAAGTATTTTCTTTATTCACTTCACAATATTTACTTATATATTTATTTTCGGGATGTTTTCATGAAAATTGGCATGAATCTGACATAAATCTGTATGCATGCTTCTTTTACAGCATAAACTACTTTGTAGCAGATTGAGCACATATTTTGTATTTCGTTTTTCCTATATTTTTTTTAATTGTTAAATTCAGATCTGCGCCCTTAACAAAATCAAATAATGAAGTAGCCTTGGCCTTAAATAACACATGGGTATAAGACGTTTTATCAGCTATAATAACCTAACTTGGTTCGTTTTAAATCCATATTATAATAATGATCCTTTACAAGATCGATGTGTTAAATATAACAAAACGCTGACCGAATATTGGAAATATAAGATTACAATCACCTAAAATACATACTGCATTGAGATAATAATTTGTGTGTTCATACTTGTGTAAAATCGTAATTAAAATTGATTTATTTTTTGTTAAATATTTGGATTTATGTTGAACAAGTGTTTATCAATGAAATGAGGAAAAATGCATTTATTGGATACACATTAATATGATTTTTACAGTAGGTTTACATTTATTCAATCTGGTGAAATCGTTTAATGGATGTTAACATTTGTTATCCCTGTTTGGAAAGGAAGGTAAGAAATACAATAAAATGCTGGTTCATCGAAATAACCACGTCATCATTTTACGGGTTTTAGATTTATAAATGTTTATAATATATGTTATTATTTCTATATGTATATCTTATCGAGTTAAATTGGTGATTATAGAGTTTGTTTGGTCCAGTATGAATATTGCATTGGGTCTGCATACGTCAATGATTAACCCCTCTATATATAAACTGGATTGGAACACAAAGTTATATCTTCTAGTAATATACGTAACATTATGTATATATTATATAATTAAGTTATATGTTGTATGCGACTCAATTTTCAAATGTAATGCTCTGTTATAGAACATATAATTGAGCCACGTCATGACAAAACCAACATAATAGGTTTGCGACCAGCATGGATCCAGACCAGCCTGCGCATTCGCGCAGTCTGATCAGGATCCATGCTGTTCGTTATCAGTTTCTCTACTTGTAATAGACTTGGTAAGCGAACAGCATGGACTGTATATATTCCCTACATACTGCATATTAGATAATAATGTAGTATGTGCGGAATATACACCGCGGGTAACCGAAGACTGATCCACGAAGAACTTATTGATGAATTCAAATTATATGTAAAATGAGTTTCTTTATCAACAAACCAAATCATATGCATTACCTGCATACTGTACATGCGACAAAGAAAGCTTGCATGCTAAACTACTTTGAAACAGAACTAAAGCAACTTTAACGAATTGTAAACCGCTGGGGGTATCATAAATTTTAATGAAAGTCCGGAACCATGTTGATAACCTCTCAATGTAAGCTGTTGGGAACTGCAAACATTGCTCTTCAGTTGTACTCACAAATACTTGAAATAGGCAAAATGTTTGATAACCGACATGTAATAAATTATATATCTCTGTGCATTTAAGCTACTGTATCGCATTTTCACGTAAAAAAACACATTAAAATATTACACCTTTTTATACCCGAACACTTGGTAAGGTTGGTAAGTATAATAGTTTTGTTACATGTGAAATTGTTGAAAAGATAATGAAGAGTCAAAGGGTACAGAATAATTTTATTTAGAAACAAACGGTGCTGATATGTTCATTTTTTTACTCTTCGTATAGGTTTAATTGGACCACTCCAGTTGTCTTATAGCACGAGGATACTGGGGTCATTTCCAAGCAACCTCGTGCGGACGTTGCTGTATAGTCAATAATCGTTTTTGCGCATATCATTATTAATTTTGAAAGTAAATAGCAGATGTCATTGTTCACTGTCCTCTTAAGATTTTACGCGATATACACGCTTATTAACGCCTTTTTTCTCCTACCCCTTTTTGTTGTCTCATATAGTGTAAAAAGGCCTTATTTAGGCCCCAACACTTAATTTTGTTTTAAAAAAGTAACCACTTTTTCGGCGCGCCCCCATCCAAAAGATACACCAGGGGGTTGCCAGAAGGGGGATGAGCCCCCTTCTGTTTGAGGGGGGGGGGGTTGAAGGAGGGCGGTAGTCCCCCTCATCGCAAAGAAAATTTTGAACTTTTGAGAGGCTAAAAATGACAATTGGGTGCAGATCGACCATAAGGTAACGTGTAACCAACGCTGAAAAGCATTTGACTATATCTCAATCCATTGAGAAGTTGCAGCACTTTGAAATCAATTTTGATTGAAAAAATCAACGCAAAATAGTGATTTTTAGCAATTTTGAGATGTCCCCTCGTTGCCATGGTAACAGAAAATTTAAGCCTGAGCATGTTGTTTTAAAGGCAAAGGTCCTGTTAACAAGTACATTTGTGCCAAGTTTGATTAGTTTTGAAGCAGTTTTTATAGTTTTATAGCAATTTGAACTTGTAACGGGAGACTTTTACAAAATGCTCATGAAGTAATGGTTTAAGAGATCTGATAGATTAGGAAGTTGCATATTATGCCTCAGAAAGACTTTTTTTACTTCTTTAGAAAGGGTTTACCTGAATTTTACAACGTTTAGGTGATCGATGGTTTTAGAGAATGTTAGATTGCTTGTAACATAACAAATTAGCGTTAAATTTGAAATGATTTGTCTTTAAAGTAATGTAAACAAAGTAGTATTTTGACTTTCATACAAAACGCTAAATCACTATAGCTGTACTTGTTGCCAAAAAAAAACAACAGAAGGAAAAGAATGTTCAGGTACTTGGCCAATGAGTAACTTTTGGAAATTGTAAAAGTATACCAATAATAAAAAGCTTTTGAGAAATAAAATTAAAGGCATTCCTGGGACATAATGGACATTGAAGGTTTACTTTGATGCACACAATGTATTTTCCCTAAGTCAGCTCGAGTGAATAGATTCATAAATCACTTAAAATATGGTTATCCTGTCGCTAATATGATATTATCGATATCTATTTGACAAAATCATCGTTCAAACACCACGTGTGCCGTTTTATAATAAATGTGCATGTCGATAAATACAGGGTAACCTAAGCTGAGATTTATTTTCAAGGTTCAAATTTCATTAAATTGATTGTTATCTAAATCCTTTTATACAAAAACAAGAATTCTCGCGACTGAACGTAATGTTGTCAAAAGAGATTCTAAAGGATTTTAAAGTGGATTTTATTCATTTAAAGATTTATATTCATTGTGAAAAAGTTTACAGGGTGTATAAAACCATGTGAGAATAGGATTGAGTTGCGCGCGGAAAAAAAACAAAATTCTAAATAAATCAAAACCAGTTATCAACAATGATCAAGAGTAAAATGACTTCTTTCTACTTTTAGATCAAAATTTGTAAAAGAAAATTAGTTGTTGTAAAGTATCAGGAAGTTTTAAGAAAGAGAATGAATTAAATTATTTATAATTTGATGATTATCAGAACTGAAACCACTTAACAGCACACAAAAATAAGCCTCATTTTTGTAGGCAACATAAATAAACGAACATAAAGAATAAAATATAACAATAAACACCATTTAACTAACTGAAATGACCCTTCTATTTTATACTGGTTCCTTAACAGAAGAAAAAGGGGTTTTGAACTCTCTTGAAGAAAAAGTTATACATTTTTTAAATTTGTTGGTTTTTTTTTATTCTCTCTTTTCTACATTTTTTTTTATTTTGAACACTTACTGTTTTTATGTTAAGCATAGTGCATAACAGTCGCGACAGACGACTAACCTGCTTAATTTTGTATTTTAACTTTGCTTTTAAGTTTGAATAGCCCATTTGAATATTTAAGAATCCAGTATCAGCATACAAAATATAAGCTACGGACAATATTTATCCTGATCTTACAGGTCGGATGTGCAGACTGGCCTGTTCCAATACTCACGGTGTCTAAACCGCGTGCCATTTTGTGATCTGCGTGATACAGAAAACCGTTGCAAATAACGGTACAAGTAGCTATATATATTTTCTTCTATAACTTTTTTAATATTTACCTTATTTTACATATAGCCCGCTTATTTTAATGCGTTACCCATAAAAAGAATGTTTCTTGGGAAAAAAGCAGTATTTCTTTTGTTAAAAGAAACCGCGTGGATTTTCGAATGTTCAAACACGCTGTTTCACTTTACGAAACAAAATATGTAGTGTACTGTTCTTTTTTCTTAGTAAACATTTTATCTATTAGAAATAGCAGGATCAACGCCAAATCTCATAAAAAATATTTTGATGATATAAGATGATTCTCCAAGAACAGTCTTTTGCATTGGTTTTCTATCCCACGTTGATCTCACAGAAAGTCACGTGGTTACAGGCACCGTGATACTGGTCACTTACATTTCCAGTACAGTTATTGCGCCTCCGCGGTTGGTGGACGTCAAAAGAGAATTTCACATCTATTCATTAGTTGTTCCACACGTTTAAACTTTTGATCAATGCGTATCTTCAAAAAAAAAAAGAGGATAAAACCGTAAAAAAAGACTACCCCTGTAGCATTGCCAGTTTAGCATTTCTCCTGTATTTTAATAACGTACACGATGTCTTTTCGACCGGTAGTTTGTTATAAGTTCAGTTTATTTTGACAATCACGCGTACGTAAGTAGATCATTCAATACCATACCATTAAAATGCTTATTCAAACAGTAATTTATTTGTTTTATCAATTTCGGATATAAGTGACAGTTTTAAGTGCATTATTCGGATACAATCGGATACAATAGTATTATTGAACTGCCTTACCCGGGTGAAAATCGTCGTTTAATCGATATTGTAGATAAATGAAAACATCAAAAGGTACATGTCGGAGTCTTGTGCAAACAAAATATCATACAAACGTGTACATTTGTTACCTGTGTATTAAAGGTATTCGAAAGAGGTATTCCGAAACTCGTCAAAACAAAATGTACATAAGTTATGTACTAACTTAATTAATCATACAACTTTAAAATTGACAAAATAATTAAAGTCCTATGGCGAATCAATATGTCATACTCTTAAAGTACTATGGTGAATCAATTTGTTATACTCTCAAAATCCTATGGCGAATCAACTTGTCATACTCTCAAAGGCCTATGGTGAATTAGTTTGTTATACTCTCAAAATCCTATTGTGTATTAGTTTGTTACACTCTCAAAGTCCTATGGTGAATCAAATTGTTATACTCTCAAAGTACTATGGTGAATCAACTTGTTATACCCTCAAAGTACTATGGTGAATCAACTTGTTATACCCTCAAAGTCCTATGGTGAATTAGCTTGTCATACTCTCAAAGTACTATGGTGAATCAACTTGTTATACCATCAAAGTACTATGGTGAATCAAATTGTTATACTCTCAAAGTACTATGGTGAATCAAATTATTATACCCTCAAAGTACTATGGTGAATCAACTTGTTATACCCTCAAAGTACTATGGTGAATCAACTTGTTATACCCTCAAAGTACTCTGGTGAATCAACTTGTTATACCCTCAAAGTACTATGGTGAATCAACTTGTTATACCCTCAAAGTCCTATGGTGAATCAAATTGTTATACTCTCAAAGTACTATGGTGAATCAAATTGTTATACCCTCAAAGTACTATGGTGAATCAACTTGTTAT